TAAAAAAAGAGAAGCATGCTACAAATGGCGAGAAGACCACCGATAAGGCCTTCTCATGAGACAATGGCAGCTAGGCAATAACCCTGCCAATTGTGGGGCCCGAGATGGTTGATACTGGGGAAAGCACTCGTTTAGGTACTTTTGGGTCCCAACTCACTTAGGGCCTTGTATGATAGTACTGCTCCCTTGAATTGAGCCAAGTAGCTCACTGGCAGCCAGTGCAATGCTCTCACAACTGATGACACATGATCGCATTGGGCTGCCCCACTTACCCACCTTGCAGCCACATTCTGCCCTGGTTACAACATCTGGATCATATTCAAGGGCAGCCCCATGTAGAGCGCATTACTGTAGACCAGGTGGGAGGTCACCAGATCATGAGCAACTGAGGCCAAGCTGTCTTGACCTAGGAATGGCCATATCTAGTGAACCAACCTAAGCTGGGCTTAAGCACTTCTTGAAGCCACTTGAGACTCCAGTGGAAAGCTGGAATCCGCTCACAAATTACAAAGTTCTCTCAAAGTACAAACCTTTTTCTTTGGGGGCGGGGGAGTGCGACCCCCTCCCAGAACAGGCTGAACATCTAATTCTTGAACACACCCACACCACTTTGGTCTTATCAGCCTCAATTTCTTGGCTCCCATTCATCTTGTCACTGCTTCCAGACACTGATCCACCTTCCCGTTTCTCCTGATTCTGACAGAATGGAAATAGAGAACTGTGTGCCATCCTCTCTAGGGGTTAATGTGTGGTGGGGGAATGGCTGGGGGTGGGTGGGTGAGCAGAATGAGCAGGGGAACAGCCCCTAGTTTTCTCATATACAGAGAAGGAAATTACCAGCTTCATTTCCAGCTTAAATATTAACACTGTGCTCCATTGAATCGCTGTCAGCCCAATCCTATACTTGCTTATGATTTGGCAGCAGTCCCAATTTATTCAATGGGGGACTTCTGAATACCTCTGCAGAGATTTGCAGCTTCAGGTTACTGGTGAGAATGGCAAGAGAGATTAAGCTTTGTGCAGAAATAATTTTGCCGTTTTGTACATTACAGCTCTCTAAATCTCCTTCAAATATGGCCGACCACGCCAGAAATGTTTTCACAGAGCCCTTTTAAAATTTGATAATAATATAGCAGTGGAATAGATAAAGAGTATTTATCTCAGCAGCTATAAATTTTGGCTGACCTTTAGAAGCCATTTAGAGAAGGCACTTACTCCTTTGACTTTGATTGAAGATTATTTGTGGAAGGCAAATGGATGCCAGCGTGTATATACCACTGGAATATGTGCCAAATGTGGTTATCCGTGCCAAAGGAAAGGAGTAATGCAAAACCAAGGCACTCTCCTCTGGGTTTTCTCTGCCTAGATTACTAGTTTTGAATTGAAGTTAATATGGGAAGACCTTTCACACACACACACCCCGCCCAGGGTAACAGACTAAAACTATGATTAGTTGGCCCCGTATGCAAGTCTTTGCCAGTCCCACAACAGCTTCCATTTTTTAATGCCATATATTTTAAGATGATGAATGGCTCACACATCACCACTGCCCTGATACAGCTCAGTGTTCCCTTACCATTGTTCCCCCCCCACACACACACATGACATGCTGCTGAAGGTAAGGAGGATCTGTATACCTGAAGGAGAGGCCCTGGCAGGTGGCTCTCCAGCCTCTGATTCAGTACAGTGGAACCTTGGTTCTCGAACAGCTTAGTTGATGAACAAATAGGAAAACCCAGAAGTAAGTGATCCGGTTTTCAAACGTTTTTTGGGAGCCGAACGTCCAACGCGGCTGTCGGCTATTGTTTCCAGGGCGCCTGTGCCAATCGAAAGCCGCACCTTGGTTTTCGAACGTTTTGGGAGTTGAACTGACTTCTGGAACGGATTAAGTTCGAGAATCAAGGTTCCAGTGTACCTCCAAACAATGCTGCCATGGGTGTGATGATGGCCATTTTCTGAAAAAGGTTGACTCAAAATAGGAATAAACCCAACTATCTCCAGGAAGCCCCATTCAGATGATATCCTCCCCTGCCCCTCCTCCTCCATTCCACATTACAGCATCTAAGCAACATAGTCAATACTTAAATTATTGGGGGATGGAGCAGAAGACCCCCATTTGCTACTGTTGAAGGCTACTGGAAGGAGGGATAAATTGGGAGGAGCCGGAGGAAGCCATTTGTGGATTTCAGTAAGGGTCCTCCTACCTCCCCCCACCCCCTTTGAAGCTCTACATATTGTACTGGCTATTGAGTGACTGTCGGAAGTAGCAGTTGTGTGGGAATGACTCATAGGGTCCAAGTCCCTGGTCTTTGGCACCGGGACAACCCCCGCCTTCTTAAAACCTTATATATACAGTGGTACCTCGGGTTACATACGCTTCAGGTTACAGACTCCGCTAACCCAGAAATAGTGCTTCAGGTTAAGAACTTTGCTTCAGGATGAGAACAGAAATCATGCTCTGGCGGCACGGCAGCAGCAGGAGGCCCCATTAGCTGAAGTGGTGCCTCAGGTTAAGAACAGTTTCAGGTTAACTACGGACCTCCGGAACGAATTAAGTACTTAACCCGAAGTACCACTGTATATGACTGATTTCCTTCTGAAAGTTCATTCATACAAATTAGTACAGTTGGAAATGGAAAAGATTCCGTTTGACTTCCAAAACGTTCGGAAACCAAAGTGTGGCTTCAGTTTGGCTGCAGGAAACTCTTTTGAATCTGATTTTTTAAAAAAATGCTGCATCTCTTTCCTCTTCATTAAGAGATAGAGGCTATCCACAGACTACAATTCAAACAGCCCTTGATAGGGCTAAAAGAACTTCCAGGCAGGGAAGAATGAACAGAACAGGGTTTTCGGTTCTATAGAGTACAATTGTTTATCCTCCTCTATTGAAAGAGTTATTAAACAACATTGGCATGTCATCTCCCATATTCCAGGTTGTGAAAATTTGCAAGTTTTAGGCAAAAGGTGGACTAGATCATTTAGAGATGTTACACACACTGATTTATTAGAATATCATAGTGAGGATCTTCATATATTGGTGAAAGGGCATTATAGATGTGGTCACTGCACACGTTGCAGATTTGCGTTGCCCGTAAAATCATTCACTAATACAATGAATGGACAAAAGATTGTCTTGCAACAGTTCACAAATTGTTCTACTAAAAACTGTGTATATTGCCTCCGTTGCGCTTGTGAGCTGTTATATGTAGGCAGTACCACTCGTGCAATTAGGACCAGAATTTCTGAGCATAGGTCCAAAATACGTAATATACAGTGGTACCTTGGGATGCGAACGGGATCCGTTCTGGAGCCCCGTTTGCATCCTGAATAGAACGTAAGACATGGCCGCGTGTCTGCGTGTGCACGGGTCACGTTTTGCCGCTTCCGCGCATGCACGTGATGTCATTTTGAGCATCTGTGCATCTGAGCACGTTACTTCCGGGTTGCCACGGAGCATAACTTGAAAATGCTCAACCTGAAGCACATTCAACCCAAGGTATGACTGTATGTCTAGATGCCCCATTAGTCCAGCATTTCCAGCAAGCAGCCTATACAGAGAATGATCTGAGTTTTTTTTATCTTGTGGACCTTCATAAAACAACCTTTTAGAACTGTAGATATACAAAGAGCCTTGTTACAAAAGGAGTATAAATTAATATTGCAATTAGGAACCTTGGATCCAAAGGGTTTGAATACTGAATTCGATCTGGGATGCTATGTGTGAGTTACGGTAATTTGTATACTGTTGTTTGGTTGTAACAGAAAAGTGATGCTGCACCTTTAACCATGTAATCATGTGTTTGATTCTATACACCTGTATTGTATTTAACTGTTATGAGTCTGAACACTAGCTGTGCTTGTGAATACCTTCTTTATCCTGAGCAAACGGTTTTGTATGATTGGGTAAGGTATAGTAATAGACTGATACTTTCTAATTGTTATGGTTTACCACACATTGTAATTGGAGTACTATTTTGTATCATGCAGCTTTACAGTCTGATGAACCGTGTAGCAAAACCTGTAATATATCCGGAGAACAGGTCTCCTTTTGCCTACTTGTGTTATTCTCACCAGGGTGGTGGCTTTGATTTGCCTTCCCGTGATTGATCCATGTACACGGCTTTGTGTTTCCAACTCAGGGCCCATTGAAGAACATCTCATCCAGTTCAAGCTTTGAAAACCTTTTTCATATTCTCCAGTGTGCTACTCTTGCCGTTGTGGTGGCACGGCGTTGCCATTCCGTGATTGGACTTACGCTACTTGTTGAACGGTTCATTTATCGAGTCTGTATAACGTTTACTGTACATGGTAACTTGTTAAGATAGAGTTGTACATTTATCCACTCCATGTTTACAGTATCTCCAGGCTTTGTCTTCCACATGGCACCTTAGTATGTTTATTGTCTGAATGGTTATATCCTATCTCTATTCTAGCTATTATTCTAGTAAATTTGGTTTTATACTTATAAGTCAGTTTGTGGTGTTGTTGTTTGGTTGCAAAATTATCACTGTCACCACATCTGATACTTTGTGTATATATTTTTTGGGAGTTGTAGTCCAACAAGATCTGCGCGGTGGTTGCACCATATTGCATCGCCGAGGTCTTTGGACTCCAGCTCCCAGCATGGCCAATGCTCTGGGGGTGATGGCAGGCAACCACGCTGACTACCACCTGCCTTCACGTGTGTGACCCGATCCCACTGCAAAGTATCACCGGAGGCCGCCGGAAAGTTGTCTGAGCGCAGCGCTTCTTCCGGACGGTCCAAGTCCTCGCTCAAGCCCGCAACTGGCACGTGGGCGAGACTCGCCTTTTAAGGCGAGGGCGAAGGAGGGTGGGGCTGCTCCTCCCTGGCGAGCCGTGGGGAGCCTCTTTGCCTATTCCCTGGGCAGCGTTGCTTTCTGCCAGGCGGCGAGCGCCGTGCGGGACCCTTTCCCGGCCGCTAGAGCCCTCCCTCCCTCCTTCCCTCGCTCCCTCCCTCCTTCCTTCCCTCTCTGGCGCAGGGCTGTGCCATCTCCGCCGAGCGTGCAGGAGCAGCATCCGCGCTGCCTGGGCAGAGGCGCAGCAGCGGCCGAGCGAGGCGAGAGGGTGGCCCGCGGCAGAGGCGAAGCGCCCGGGAAAACAGCGCGGCCAGGCTGCGGGAGAGGCTTTCGGCGGCCGGAGCAGCCCGCTTTCTCACGTGCTGCTCGGAAGGTAAGCGAAACTCAGCGGCGCCGGCGGAGTTCCTGCTCCTGTCGTGGGGACAGACGCATCTCCTGCCCGCAGGAGCAGCCGCGACCAGAGCGCAAAGGTAGGCGCGTTTCCCCCGCTGCGAGAGGGACGCATTGTTGTCTGGTCTTTGGATGCGCACCCCTCCGCGCGTATGGAGAGGGATGGGGTGCCTTGCGCTCTCTCTCCATCTGCAGCGGGGAGAGAGAGACAGAGAAAGAGAGAGGAGCAGCAGCAGCAGCAGGAAGCCAGGAGCCCCAGTAATAGCCATTGTCAGTCGCAACAAGCTGCCCGCTCGACGCTTCCTCGGCTGCGCTCACGCCCAGCAGCGCCGGGAGGGCGGCGTTGGTGCAGGAAGGCTTCCTCGCTCGCCGGCTTGTTTTTCTCCCTCCCTGCCTGGCTGCCAGCGAAAGCTAATCCTCCGGGCTGTTTCCCCCGCGTCTGGGTGTTCCCAGGAACAAAGCTCAGAGACTAGGGCAGGGTGTCTGGCTGCGGGCACCCCGAGGCTACACTCGAGCCCGGCTAGAAGTTTGGGCGTGTGGATTATCATATTATCTGTGGCTTCCCCTCCCTGCCTTTCTCTCTCTCTCTCCACCCTCCTCCTCCTTTTGGATTTGTGAAAGCTCTCCTTCCCTCCTTTTTTTGATTGGCAACGTGCAAAAAACCCAACCACCAAAGCACACAACCCATGTGCTTTGTTCTTCTGAGCGATCTGTGAAGAGTGACTGGAGAGCGAGCGAGGGATGGGATGTTTCATTGAGCAGCAAAGGAGTTACTTAGCTGCGTGTGGACTCGAGCCCCGAGGCTGGTATTGAAGGAGCACTTAAGCGTAGAATGGAGGCAACTTGTTCAGGCCAGCCGGATTCTTTGGTTTGGGATGGAGGGGTGGGGGCAGGGAGGGGTGAGTGAGGACAGATGCGATGCTTAGAAGGGAATCTCCTCAAGCTGTCAGTTGCTCAACCCACAAGGGGTGTGTTATGATAATACAAGAGTCCAAAGAGGGTTGCAGATTCAGGTGTCTCTCATGCACACAGACAAGACACTGGCACTGCTTTCAGAGACATCTCTGGCTGGGTGCTCCTGTCCAAAGAAGGCAGGAAGAGAGGAACTCCCTTGACAGCTCTCTGGGTGCAAATCTGGGCTCTGGAAGAGTAGAGGCGTCTCCCGTTCTAAGAGTTCCAAGCTTTCCAGCATTCATCTGATTTGGGGGGGGGGGGGCTTGTAAAAGGGAAGAGAGAGAGAGGCTCTTCAGGGTTAAATTTCCAAGAACATTCTCTTATCTGTGGGACTTAAGCTCTCTCTTATCAGGAGTAGGAAATGTCCAGAGAGGCTGCTGGGTTTTTTTCTCTGAGCTCACAAGTGCTGTAGTGCTGCCCTGGCTTCCCATTGGGGTTTCATTTTGCTGGGCAAGATTAAAAGCCAGAAAGAAAGAAAGAAATTGGGGGGGGGGGTTTAAACAGATTTTGGTGGGTGGGTGGATTATATGAGTTTCAGTGGAGTAATGAACTAATCTATCCATTTTAAATTTGCAGTTGGGAAAATATATTTCTGAAAGCAGACACATACTTTATTCTCTGGATGATGTGCCCATGTGGTTTCAGTGATAGGCATAATCTTAGGAGAGACATCCTTTCTGTGTGTGATAGAAAGGAGAATGCCACTTTTTAGGAAGGTGCTTGGCACCTGCAATCTGTACTAACCAGGTGTAGCTGATGTGGCGCCCCTGGGGGTTGTTGGACAGCAGTTCCCCACACCTGTTACTAATGTTTGTATGAAAAACAATCCATTTTTAAAAAGATGAATATCAAAGTGGTTAATTATACTTTAATTACACTCACAATGTGAAGAGATTTTTTTTTAAAAAAATAAATATTAAACTTAAAGCTAAGTTGTGGTCAGAAAATTCAAGCATTTTTTTAAAAATGGCAGCATTATATTTGGCGTTATACACATCATAGGAAGTTTTGAAAAAGTTGTTTAATAAGGAGTATTTAAGCCTGAAAAAACTTCAAAAAACATTTCTACTTGAAGCCTAATAAAAAGTGAAAGACATAACGATTAGGCAGCAGACCACCTCCCTTTTCTGTAGCCTGTACAGCAGGTATGGGGGATCTGTGGCTCCAACTTCCATCAGCCCCAGTCAGCATAGCCAGGGGTCAGGAATAATAGGGGTTATAGTCCAGCAACATTGGGAGGGCCACAGGTGCTCTACAGAGTGTAGAGAAACTAAAAACCTACACATTCCTATGCGGGTTTACTTAGATGTTAAACGCTCTGTGATGAAAGACTCCCTATCAGTGCAATGTCTATTAGGTTAGCCTCATTGAACTCAATTCAGTTTACTTCCAGGTGTACACAAGTGTGCAGCATTAGGCTGAAATACTACCTACACTTACTTGGGAGTAAGTCTCATACTGGGACATACTTGTGACTGTATGTGGAGATGGTGCTGCACAAGAATGTTGATTTTAAAAAAGTACTTGATAACCAACTTAGTCAGGAGTACACACATTGTGCTTGCTTCATGTGTAACAAGTGAGTGACTACAAACATGTGGTGCAAGGAAAGTTTATACACACACGCAGAGAGAGAGACCCTGTCCAGCACAGGCAGTAGGCACTATGAAACACAACGAGTAGACAGCTGTAGTAGTCATCTGACAGCAACGTTTTCCACCTTTTCCCCTAAGGAAGCTAAAGCCCAACTGCGGTGCTCTGCTGATGTGCAAATGGTCACATACTATTTCTCTATTATGTGTTACTGCTCTGCACATGCTGAGCAGATCAAAAAATAAAACCTACCAACTTGAGATCCTGACTTTACTGAAGTTCTGATCTGGCTGGCTTTTTTGTGGTGTTTGTCATACCGCCTTTCCTTTGTCCGTTTCCTCCCTCAGTTTCCTACAATAGTCCCTCTTCCTGCATTGTTTTCTGTGTCCATTTCCCTTCTTTTTGCTTTTCTGTGCTATCTCTCTCCTAATCACAAGTGTGGTCATATCACGCTTCAGTATTGCATTCCACAGCTGCTCACCCCAAATCACACACCCTTCGCATTTAAACCTATTTAACAACCTTTAATATATATATCCTTACAACAAGCCTATGACACTGAGGTCCTCTTCTGAGGGCCTTCTGGCTGTTCCCTCACTGTGAGAAGTGAGGTTACAGGGAACCAGGCAGAGGGCCTTCTCGGTAGTGGCGCCCGCCCTGTGAAAATCCTCCCATCAGATGTCAAGGAGATAAACAACCATATAACTTTTAGAAGACATTTGAAGGCAAGCCCTGTATCAGGAAGTTATTAACGTTTGACGTTTCATTATGTTTCTATATTCTGCTGGAAGCTGCCCAGAGTGGCTGGGGAAACCCAGCCAGATGGATGGGGTATAAATAAAATGTTGTTGTTGTTGTTGTTGATGATGATGATGTAGGTTTGGCTGAGAACTAGTAACCACATCAAGTTTCCCCACTGAGTTTAATGGCCAACAGAGATGTCAACCTAGGTCCCAGTTCAACACTTTGACTGCTACACTAGCCCTATTCAGACAAATGTGTGAGGGCAGAAACTATGATGAATACAGCCACTATGGTGAAATACCATAACCCCTTCACAACTTGGTGGGGTGTTTACTCTCTGAGAGCCAGTGTGGTGTAGTGGTTAAGAGTGGTAGTCTCGTAATCTGGGGAACCAGGTTTGCGTCTCCGCTCCTCCACATGCAGCTGCTGGGTGACCTTGGGCTAGTCAGACTTCTCTGAAGTCTCTCAGCCCCACTCACCTCACAGAGTGTTTGTTGTAGGGGAGGAAGGGAAAGGAGATTGTTAGCCACTTTGAGACTCCTTAGGGTAATGATAAAGCGGGATATCAAATCCAAACTCTTCTTCTTACTGAGCACTTGGTAAGCTAGTGGTTGTAGCATCTTGCCAAACAGTGAGGCGGTTGTCCCCCCCCCCCCCCCCGAAAAAAATAATTCCTCCATTTCCTTGGATTTCTGTTCAGGCATGGACCTGAGGTAAAATTTGCCTCAGAACCATTTTCCCAAATGGTGTCCAAGTTCACAGAGGTGTGTTTCAAATTAGGAAATCATCATTGCCACTCTTTCTGTGACTAGTTTAACTGAAATGTAATTTGTATATGGATTCCTGTATATATAAAAGTGGCACTTGAGTCCAAGAGAGAGCTCTGTAAAAGGGGCTTACAGATTTTTGTTAATTGAGTATTTCATTGGAGCCAAATTTTAATTGGATTTTTGGTTGGAGACAGAGTGGCAAATAACAAAACAATATCAATAATATATATATGTTTTAAAAAGAATGGCAAGCAAACCAGATATCTTCACACAACTAATTCAAAGTTGCCAGAAACAATATACGTATTTCAACTTACGACACCATAATTCTGTTAGGCATGCATGCCCCACTTCTGAGCAATGGAATGTTTTAGGGGTTCAGTTTTCTTTGGAAAGAGGTTACATGAGGAGGTCCGGGAACCAAGTAAATGTAAAAGAAGTGATGAAAAGACAGAATTGTTTTTAACTGTTTTTTCTTTTTTCTTTTTGTATTATGCATTGTGTATTTTTCTTTTTATTCTTAAATTTTTCTTTTTTATTAATGTGATTCTTTTTTGTGAAACCTTAATAAATATCATTTAAAAAAAAAAAAAAGGAAAGAGGTTACATGAAGCTTGTTTCATATTGTAATATCTGAATTTATTTACAAATATACAAGGTGAGCCTAGGATAGAGGTCCAGAGCAGTATCACCCCAACAGATACTGCTCCCCACTAGAATTCTAGGAGGGCCACAACCACCGTAGAATTGTTGCGAGGAAAATTCTGTGTCTCCTTTCAGTCTGATCCACAGAACTGCAGGCTTAGACCAACCCCTCCACCGCAGGCAACAAACAAACAGATGAGTCCCCGTTTAAAAAAGGCAGCAGCTGAGTTGATATCTATCAGTTAAGATGTGCCCCAGCAAGATATGACCAAATCAGTTTCTATAGTCTCTTGCTAATCCTGGATCTTTTACTGTCAGAGCCACAGAGTGAGGGCTAGTCCACATTTCAACAGTATTTAGCTGTCCATCCATTTCCCCACCAATCACATTAGACCAGAGTTGTCCACTCCCACATATATTAGAATTTGTTTATGAAAAGCAACTTTGGTCTTTCCCATTCACACCAGCAGGTGCTCCATTGTGATTGTCCTGGCCTTCTAATTGGTTGATTCTATTATGGTAATTAGGTACCGAAAGGGCATGCACATATAGCACACCAATGGCTGCACACCCAACTTGTTTGTTTGTTCTAAATTACCCACTCGAGAAGTGTCAGGCAATTTTAAATTTGCTTGTGCAGTTTTCTGGTTTTGTGCAAATCTGATCGATTTAAGGGGGGGGGGGATTCCTCAGTTTATCTGATTTTGCCTGTATCCGATAAACCCAGATTTACAGGGGACAAGCATCAAGATTGGTGTGGTTTGAGAGTAACATGTGAACTACACAAATTAAATGAGAAGGGATGCAAAGACACAGTAAATTCCAGTGTGGGCAAGCTCCCAATCTTGTTATGAACCAGTAGATTTATAGTGCAATCCTGTGCATGTATACTCAGAAGTAAGTTCCATTGTGTCCAACAGGACTTACTCCCTTGTAAGTGTGTTTAGGATGCAGCCTTACAGTGTAATCCTCCACATGTCTGCTCAGAACTAAGTCCCATTGAGTTCAATGGTACTTGCTCTCAGGTAAGTGGGTATAGGATTACAGGCTTAAATTCACCTTTTCTTATTTATTTGCAAATATTATTACTAACTTCAAACTGGTTGAATTTGGCAAACTGAACATATTTTAGTTGTCTCATTTTGTATTGATGCGTAAGCAGATATCTAATCTAATTGTTATCTGTGCCGCTCCAAATGTGGGTGTTTTATGACTCTTTTTTTGAAATTGGCTTTTGTTTGTGATTATTTCTAGGCTATTGTAAGCCACTTAGAGATTTTCCTTGAAATATGAAGCAGTATATAAATTGCCCACATAATAATAATCACCAGATCCATTGCATTAAGCATGCTTCCGTTTCTCTGCCATTGCCTGATAATATTAATGTCTTCCAGTGTTTTCTCTTTCCTTCTTCCTTCTTCCTTGTGCTGGTTTCTGCTGAGAGCTTTGGCCAAATGAGAGATTTGGCCAGCAACTCTGGCCTCTCTCACCTAACTGAGCCAGGAGGATTAAGCTTGGTGCACAGATGAAAAGTGGAGCGAGGCAGATGCATGATGAATAGAGAGACATTTGCAAACCTTGTTTAAGTCCCCATGGAATGGCCCCCTGCCACTTTGTTCTAATTTAAACTGATAAAGAGAAACGGGGGTACGCAATCTGGGCGCTAATTAAACAGAGCATCAGCCAGGCCAGTAATTTGAAATAATCGAAAGCAGAAGCAGAACCAGCTTGTTAGTTGAAGCTTTTTAAAAACAAACAAAAAAACAAAAATGTATTTGGATAAAATTGTGGCTTCATCTTTTACGGAGATGGCAAGCTTTATGTCTGGACTGTGCCACTCAGTACTGTGCAAGATTGCAGCCTGTGATTCACAGACCACACATGACCGGCCTTTAAGAATGATTAAAATACAGTGGACGCTTGGGTTGCGAACATGATCCGTGCGAGAGGCACGTTCGCAACCTGCAGTGCCGCTTCTGCACGCGCGCAGGTTACAATTCGGCGCTTCTGTGCATGCGCAAAGCGTGATTTAGCATTTCTGCACATGCACAAGTGCTGAAACCCGGAAGTAACCCATTCTGGTACTTCCGGGTTCGGTGTGATGCGCAACCCAAAAATGCACAACATGAAGTGGCTGTAACCCGAGGTATGACTGTATGGGAATCTTCAAAAGATGCTTCTTAGTTTACTTTCTTACCTTACTTTCCATTGTTTTAATAAGTGTCGCAGAAATCCCCTTTCTGCTGGAACCCAAGCAAATAAGAAAACAGCTCCCCCTCACATTACATTGCCAAGGTGCTTTCTACTACTGAAAAAGTTACCTTGTGAGTTAAACAGAATGACTTACAGAAGCGTAAACTTAAAAAGGAATAAAAAGTTACCGCTAATACTTAAGAGTGCCCTGAAATGCTGAGCACTCCTGGAAAAAAAGATGACAATTGAGAATGGGACCTGAAAGTACAATGACATGCTGTGGTTTCAATTATCTTTTTGTGTGTTCCCCAGCCCTGCTTTGTGGCTTCACCATCCATAATGATTCCTTGATCTCTTCAGATAAAATACGGTTACAAGTTGTGAGGAGAGAAATTGTCCGATACGATCTCTCTCCTGATAAATGATTTTGCCAACCACCCTCCCCTAAATTCGCCTCTGTCTACGCTGGGCTGATATAGCAGTTGGCCAAACTCCTCCAGAGAACCTAGCAGAGCATAATTTTTGACCTTTCCTGGTTTTTCATATTATTGATTTTTAAACCTTCTTCAGCTCAAGCAAAGAAACTTGACACAGACCGTTTCTTGCGGAGAATTTACTAACCTAAGCAAATTAGAATGTGTGTTGGTGGGGTCCCTGTACATAACCAAGGGCACTTGCCTGTTTTCCTTGATCTGTTTTTGTTTCAAAAACTTAATGGCATTTTGAGAAAGAAAGAAAAAACACCCCCCCACCCCCACTGATACTTTAACATTGTCTGGGACAAAAAATATATATCCCAGTGGCAGAAATATCAGTTGAACCCAGTGCTTTTTATGTACACAAAAAAACTGTAAATGGGGAGGGGGCGTGCGTTTACTATGGTATAAGTGACAACAGCCTAGAACTACATTATGCAATGAAAAGTATGCTTTACCCTATTTGATAAGTTTTTTAAAAAGAGTTAGAGGCATTTATTTGTTCAGATTTACAAATACAGTCATACCTCGGGTTTCAGATGCTTCAGGTTGCGTTTTTTCGGGTTGCTGACCACCGAAATCTGGAAGTACTAGAATGGGTTACTTCCAGGTTTTGGCAGTCACGCATGTGCAGAAGCACTAAATCGCGCTTTGCACATGTGCAGAAGTGCCGAATCGCAACCCGCGTGTGCGCAGATGCTCGGCTGAGGGTTGCGGACGCTGCAGGTTGCGAACGTGCATGCCACATAGATCACGTTCGCAACCCGAGCGTCCGCTGTACAGGGCTGCCATTCTACACACACTGGGAGGTGAATTCCAACGGTTTTCTTGCAAGAAGACATGCATAGGATTTCACTCGTTGTTTGTCTCTGGCATCTGCCAACCTGGGTAGCCAATGTGGTTCGTCTCCCCGCCCCCCCCATGTTGTTGGAGTCCCACCAGGCACCAGCCAGCATGGCTAATGGTCAAGGAGGATGGGACTTGTAGTCTAGCAACTTCTGGAGGCCTGCGCTAATCTGTGATCTCTTGCCCCTGGACAAGGAGCTTCTCCTTTAGCAATCATGGCTTCAGTTGTAACTGTGAATGCTGCAAGTCCAGAGAAGCAGGACGTTTGGAACAGGCGCTAAATAAATTGCATCTGTTTGGTTAAAATAAAAATGGCACGCCTGATAAAGTATTAATTTAAAAGGAGAAGGGTGTGTAGAAGATTGTGCATCTCTACTTCCCTGGGATTCTGTTTGTGTATTTAAAAAAAAATAAACAAGTGCAAGGGAGCGACAAAATTAATTTCCTAGAGATGAAAATGGAAATTGGAACGATGTATCTTCAAGTACTGTGACAAAGCGAGACTTGGCCTCCGCCCAAATACAACCTAATTGAGATTTTTTAATATTGCTTCCTCGGTGCCCCATAACCGCAGGCAGGGAAGTTACAGATTGACTAGGATTACAAAAAAAGTTATCTCCAAGTGGGTGACTGATAAGTTTGTTTAATTTATATTTTTTGAGATTATTTGCATAATTTTACTACTGTACGGTAAAACACTTTAAAAAAGAAGAAGTTGCTTCATAGGAGGGAATGTCATGTCCAAATTAATTTTATATACAGTTTGTTCAGGAAACCTAATTGGAGCTTTGAGAACAAATATGCCCACTATCAGAGGGAGCTTAGTGAAAAGCAAGGTTTTTAGAATCTGGAAACAGGGACATGATTCAGTTTCCTGGGGCCTCAGTCCTAACCACACTTACATGGGAGGAAGCCTCATTGAATTCAGTAGGATTTACTGCGCAGTAGATAAGGTTAGTATTGAAGTTAAAGGTGCAGAAAGGTGTGTTGGTATAGGCTTCCAGCCTTTGGTCTAGTGATTATGGGGTAGAAGAAAAAACTAGTTTTCGGAACTAGCTTGGAAACTGAAATATGCTCTTGACTGTAGGCTGTGGGGAGGGAGGGAGCAATTTTTTATTTGAGTTATGGTGCAGTCCAGGATGCAGAACCTGTGTGGTTTTAATGTGGCCCTCAATATTCTTTCCCTGGCCCTCAAGAATGTCCTCATGACACACTCTCACTTCCCAGCCATGCCCATGACTGGTCTTTCTCCGTATCTTCCTCGAATGTTTTTGCCTGGCTGGAATGTGTCCTGGCTGGCAATGCTTCTTGCTGACCTGGATGGAGAGTAGAGAGAGGCATGTACAGAACTCATCTTGCTGTACGAACATAGGTGTTGCATTCATTTCTCCACTCACTTTTGCCCCTGGCCCTGTCACCCACTGAGATATGGCCCTCAGAAAATTCCCCAAGAAAGAATGTGGCCCTTGGCTTCTTCACCCCATCTGTAGTTCCAGGTACTGATTCCATTGTAAGGATTTGCACAGTAGAATTAAAGGAATGGTTGTGGGTGAGAGTAGCTGTTGTCAACTTCTACAAATCAGGGGAATCAAAGGTGGTGCCTTTTAGGCTGATTTGTGCCAGATAATCCCATTTTACAAATTAGGGACCAGGGAGGCAAAGCCTTTTTCCATGTTAGGATCTATAGTACCTATTAACTGTTTTATTTATAATGTAATTCAATATACATAGTTTTTCCATCCATCACAAGGTTTCCTAAACTTGGGCCTCCAGTTGTTTTTGAACTACAGTTCCCATCATCTCTGAACACTGGTTTTGGGATGATGGGAATTGTAGTCCAACAACAACTGGAGGCCCAAGTTTGCGAAATAATGATCCATTAGGATGCATAAGGGGCCTTAGCAACAATATAAAACATCTCATTAAAAACAGAAGCATGTATAGCCAGAGGTGGGGAATCTGTTGCTCTCCAGAAGTTGTTGGAGCTCAGTTCCCATTAGCTCCAGCCAGCTTGGTCAAGAATGATGGGAGTTGTTGTCCAGCAACATCTGGAAGGTTACATATTCCCCACCCCTGATATAGTACAATGAGAACTTGAAAAGGCATAGGAGCAGAGAATAGGTTAGTACATTATTTCCTTTTTCTGGAATAGCAGAATCATAAACTACTGTCTAATGAAAGCTCAGTGGTGTGTACTCTCACAGCATCATCTAGGATGATGCTTACATTTGTCCCTTAGCCCATCCTTGCACTCTTACAAAGCAGTGGTTAAATGTTGCACCATTGTATATAAAAGTCACTTCTGGCTATATATGACCTTGCTTTCTGCACATCACCCACTTTCTCTTTTGGCTTAATACCAGCTGTTGATGAGTGCGCCAGATTCTCAATAGGCCCTTTTAAAATAAGTGATGCAAGCAACACACTTTCACAACATGCTCGCAACTTTATTTGCTTCCTTTTCTGCAAAATCTTGCATTTGGGAGAAGAGGTGGGAGGTGGTCGTGAGTGCTGTACAGCAAACCCAGGGAATGGGGAATGAATGTTTCCCAGCCTTGATTTGCGTAACGTGCCTGTTGCCTTCTTCTTGAAGGGGAAGTGGTTTTTCATATTGAGGATAATCAAGTATGAATCTATTGTGTAGTATACAGTGGGAACTTTTGGATTTCTTCCTAACTATTGCTCTGTTTTAAAAAATACACTGAGTAGGGTGTTGTTGTTGTTTTTTTGCAGTTCAGTGGCCCTCTATTACAAAGAGTAAATATATATGTAGATATTGGTGGTTAGAAACCCACATTCAATATCATCACCACCCTGGCAATTTGTAGGGCCTTAACGCTATGGGGCACCAACATAGGGTACCACTACAGAACCTTGGAGAGCTCCAGGCAATCAACAGTGTTCTGACAATTTCTGAGACTGAACCATTTTATTCCTCCAGGGCTAGGCTCTGTCCTAGGCTCTGCCTCTTACCTGAAGAGTGGAAGGTCTTAAAAGGGCAGCCCTCTGGCTTAGAGCCTACCACTCCCAGTCTTGATTATTTTCCCCAAGGCTCATTGACTGCACGGAAAGTGGCAAGGGAATGTGTAGGATTCCTGGTGCGGAAGACAGCTGCTCTAGAAGAGCAGGCTTAGGGATTGTTGACTGTGGAGACACGATTCGGATGTCCTTGGTTCAAGGGCTGTCAGCTTGGGCTTGGCCATGATGTTAATCTTGTTCCCAACACCCATGTCTCCTGTGCCATTGATGTGACTCCTCTTAATCTGGTTTGTAGTAAAAAATCTAGGTTGCTGCTTACAGTGGGGCAGTCTGGTGTTGACAAACAGAGTCCATACTTTGGCTCAGTCACTTTTATTAGGCAGTCACAGAGGCTTTAGTCATATGTTGGGTCTTCTCCGTAGCTCTTATGAGGAGGAACGCTAGCATGGATTCCTCTCATTTGGCCCCATCTTATCACATTACCCTGGATCAATGTTGCAGAAGAAAAGGGGTTAATATTAGATGCCATGTAGTATAATACTTTTAAAGATATGAGCTACGAGACAGAAAGTCTTTAAATTCAAGTCTCATCCAGTCATAAGCTTACCGGTCAGCCTTTTATCATGATGTTTCATGTGGCTGGTTTTTATGTTTTCAGTTTTTACTTTATGTTATGAGCTGCCTCAATGTCATTTGGTGGAGAGATGGAATGCATGTTTTTACAAGCCTTGAGGAGATGAGCCCCCTTTTTAAAAATCAGATTGTGGGACAGCAACAAACGATCACATTTGCAATGCCAAACCTAGAAAGGAGAGGCTTTGTCATCCACTGAAGCAGCAATATCGCTAAGCACCTGAGACAGGTAAAAAAGAAACCACGTTTAGCCCTGTCCTGCGGGAAAAGTTTGTGCACATGGCGGCATCTCAGATGAATGCAATTCATTTCCTTTCCCAGAAAGTAGTGGCACTGATGAGTTATGATTTTCACATGTGTAGCCGTATATCCAGCTACCTCATGGAGGTGAATCACTTTAAGATGCTATTTTTTAAATGGTCATGTGAATAAGTCTAAGGTGGTTCTGTAAAAGATCTGCCAATTTTCATCTACAGTAAGGGTTCCTCACCGCTTTTCACCCTTGGGCAATCCTCTGTGGGTCTCAAGCCACTGACGAGTGTGGCCACCCTTTTCCCCCCACAGCACACAAAAGGCAGGCACACAAACAGGCACACAGCCCCCCCTCTCAGCTGATCCGTGCAGATCACTTGTGGAGGTGAGGTTACCACCCCCTTTTCCACTCATCCAATTTGCATCCCCATCAGGGTGCTGGGCTCTGTGCCATACGAGAAATAAAACCAGTTAATGACAACTATTCCCCCCTGTGCCGGTAATCTCTCTCTTTATAACTGCATGTTGAACACTCATAATCAAAAGCTTCAGCAGTCAATTGCATAGTATAGCAGGGCAGGGACGATGTTAATTAAGGAGAAGTGCGAAATCAAAAGAGGATCTTGTTATCTTGCTGCTGGGAGTCAAACTAGGTGTGATGTGGGAGAACTCTTTCCTCCCCACCCTCCTTTGTTTGGAAACCATCCTGCAGACAAAAGTGTTTGGATTTGGGGCTGTGGTGCTAAGAGAGATGGGTACAATCTCTCCCTGACTTCAGTTGTCTCTACCCATTAAGGTAAAGGTAAAGGGACCCATGACGATTAGGTCCAGTCGTGACCGACTCTAGGGTTGCAGCGCTCATCTCCCTTTATTGGCCAAGGGAGCCGGCGTACAGCTTCTGGGTCATGTGGCCAGCATGACTAAGCCGCTTCTGGCGAACCAGAGCAGCCGTTTACCTTCCCGCTGGAGCAGTACCTATTTATCTACTTGCACTTGGACATGCTTTCGAACTGCTAGGTAGGCAGGAGCAGGGAGCGAGCAACAGGAGCTCACCCCGCCAGGGGGATTCGAACCGCCAACCTTCTGATCAGCAAGTCCTAGGCTCTGTAGTTTAATTAGCTACAGTTAAAAAGATGGTATTCTTCTTATTTATTTGTTTGCAACACATACACCATCTATCTCTCTGTCTATATAACCAAAATAATCATATGCAATTTAATTAAACAATTAAAAAACATTATTTTATAAGCAATAGTTCCTATTCGTGATTGCTACATTGCTTCCAGTATCATGCTTCTGTGTACTATTTGCTAGGGATGATAGAAGAGGGTTGTTGTACTAATGTTCAGTGCATGAGCTTTCCAGAGGTATCTAGTTGGCCATTGAGAGAACAGGCCAAACTAGATGGGCCTTTAGCCTCATGCTGCGGGGTCATCGTAAAGGTAAAGGTACCCCTGACCATTAGGTACGACCAGTCACGGACGACTCTGGGGTTGTGGTGCTCATCTCGCTCTATAGGCTGAGGGAGCCGACGTCTGTCCGCAGACAGTTTTTCTGGGTCCTGTGGCCAGCATGACTAAGCCGCTTCTGGTGAACCAGAGCAGTGCACGGAAATGCCGTTTACCTTTCCGCTGGAGCGGTACCTATTTATCTACTTGCACCTGACGTGCTTTCGAACTGCTTGGTCATCTTACCTTCTGTTTAAAAAACCTCAAAACAATTAAATATGAAACAACATAGAGTTGAATTGAAAACTTTATGCTGAGTTTGAAATACAGCATCCATCCAGCACTCAATATACAAACCATTCAAGTGCCTAAGAGAATGAAAATATCTTAACCCAATGCCTGAGAGATGATACAGTGAGTTTCAAAGTTAATAGCAGCTTTGGGAGTGGGGGAGGGGAGTGAGTGAAAGGGTTAAAACAAACCTTTCTCTTGTACAGCGGCCCTGATCACAAATTGCTCCCCATGGCTACTTGTCCCCAATGTCCCCAATGACAGCCAATCACGGAATTCAAGTGTAGTATTTGTAACAAATGAAACTGGATTTTAGATATTTGCCCATTCAGCATGGAGGAGTGGTGTGGTTATAAAATGTGCAAGACAGAAGTTTATTCCACCAGACATTGTTTACTCTGCTGTGGCATGCAGCTTCATCTGACGACTTTTAATTAGCAGATTGCTGCTAATCCCAAGTCTTTCCCTTTGAACACCAGGAGAACAGCTTTGTTTATGTTCTGTGTTTTTTTAAATTGTGTGTTCAGCTTGAATTGACAAAACTATTCTTAATTTAACATTTTTCCAGCTTTGATGCTGGACAAAGTAAGCAAGTGCTACTAAGATCTTTTATGTTTCCTCATTGTCTTAGCTGTATTTTGGAAAAATTTAAATTCTTTGCTCTCATCTCAGTAAAGAAACCTTTCCTCCTTTCATGCCAGATGCACTTTCGTAGTCTAGCCTGAATTTCATGGAAATAGGCTGATAATACACCCACTTACACACATTTACACACACACACATAGGAACACATTTTTCTTGTATCTGAATATTAAAGTTCAGATGTTACTACAAGTCCTCAGAATACTGTATTGTAATGTGGCAAGACAATGAAGCCATGGGTTAGATCCTTCTTCCTTTCTGAACCCAAATTGTTTTGTCTAGTTGCTTGTGTCATTTCCTTTATCCTTGTCAACAGCTCGTAGGCCAGTGTTTGGTTTTCTTCCATGTGGTGCCATTTTCCGACCATGCCAAGTTCTCAAGAAGAAGCACAGCTGAACTGCTGGATGGAAAAGTTGCAAACAGATGGATTGTGTAAGGAATACTTTGGCAAGGCCAGGCTAGAAATAAAACAGAAGGAGCGTATTCGGCTGGGAGCAAATGGAGAAGGCGACTTGTGCATTTTCATTGTTAGGGCTGTTAACTGTGAGGGTGGGCTTTGAGTTTGAAGGAGCCCTTCCAAGCAAAGTGTCCTCTGGTGGGCCACCTCTTCCATCGCTGGTAGCAGCAAAGGACCACAGCTCTGAGAAGTACCAGGTAGCTGGGTCTAGCACAGAAGCAGCTCACTGGGAGAGGCAGAGCCACTATGCCAAATTCTTGTCATTTCAGTTGTTGCTTATTGGGAGGGAGAGGTGGCGGGATGAGGCAGGGAGGTCAGCGCGGTGCAAATGTGATGCTCTTGCCATGGGAGGAATTTTTCAGAATTTCAGCTTTCCAGATGGAACGATTCCCCCTTTCCTCTCCATCCCCATCGTTCCAGGGGTTCTTCCTGAGGGTGGGGAGGGGAGAAGGAAAGCCCCATGGGGCAAGCATGGCTTCCATTGATGGGACTTATTAGTTGAATCCCACCCAGTGTGTTTGCACCATGTTGGCCTCCCCACCACCTTTCCTCTCTGCATCTCCTGGTAAGCAACAGCAACCAATCAGGTCTGGGAACAGTGTTAGAAACTCAGATATAAAAGCAAATCGCCAAATGATGCCTTAAACCTAGGTTACGGTGGCCACAACGGAATGTCTGGGCACCATTTCCCCCCAGAGGAATTTTGAAAAATTATTATTATTATTATTCATTTCATTTCTATACTGCTTTATATCTTAAAGGGGGAAAAATCTTGAAGTGGTTTACAGCACATTAAAACATCAGATAAAACAATCCAGAGTAAAACGAATGCAAGCTTCAAGGAAAATATTTCCGTTCTTTCTCTAAGTGACATTTTGCTTTCCTCCTATTTATTTATCCACTTAATATCTGTAGCTGCCCCACAGCAGAAGTACTCTTAAGAAGCCAGTGTGATGTAGCAGTTTGTTGTTGTTGTTTAGTCGTTTAGTCTGTTTCTGACTCTTCGTGACCCCATGGACCAGAGCACGCCAGGCACTCCTGTCTTCCACTGCCTCCCGCAGTTTGGTCAAACTCATGCTGGTAGCTTCGAGAACACTGTCTAACCATGTCGTCCTCTGTCGTCCCCTTCTCCTTGTGCCCTCCATCTTTCCCAGCATCAGGGTCTTTTCCAGGGAGTCTTCTCTTCTCATGAGGTGGCCAAAGTATTGGAACCTCAGCTTCACGATCTGTCTTTCCAGTGAGCACTCAGGGCTGATTTCCTTAAGAATGGATAGGTTTGATCTTCTTGCAGTCCGTAGTGGTTAGAGTGTCCAACTAGGTAGACCTGGGAGATCAAGGTTCAAATTCCCACTCAGATGAGAAGCTCACTTGGTGACCTTGGGCCAGTCACAGCCTCTTAACCTACCTCACAGGGTTGCTGTAGGGATTAACTGGGGTGGGAGATGAACCATGCACTCCTTGGAGGAAAAGGTGGGATATAAATGCAATAAATAAGCTCTTCTGATTACCTGCTTAAGAAAGCTGGAGGGGCTGGCCAGATGGAGATGTCAGTTACCAAGCTGGCACCCAGAGATCTTCACGGGATTTTGAACACTGGTTGAACCATGGCAACTTTCCCACCAACTCTCCTCTCCCCATTTCCTGGTAAGCAACTGCAGCTTACCTGCTGGGAACCAAGCGTAGTGGCTCCACCTCACCTGGTGACCCGCTTCTGGCTTTATCCGCCATTTTACTTTTCTCATAGAGCCCCAAAACAGAGAGTTAGGGCTGTGCTTGGTTACAGAAGAGCTCTTCTGCATCAAACCAAATCAAATGCAGCATTCTTGCTTCTCACAGATGTATAAACAGATGCCTTTGGAAAGCCAATGAGTAAGGCATGGGTAGGCAAACTAAGGCCTGGGGGCCAGATCCGGCCCAATCGCCTTCTAAATAACGGCCCATGGATGGTCCAAGAATCAGCATGTTTTTACATGAGTAGAATGTGTGCTTTTACAGTGGTGCCTCGCAAGACGAAATTAATCCGTTCCACGAGAGTCTTCGTCTAGCGGTTTTTTCGTCTTGCGAAGCAAGCCCATTGACGGATTAGCGCTATTAGCGCTATTAGCGGTTTAGCGGCTATTAAAGGCTTAAAGGCTTAGGGGATTAGCTGCTAAAAGGCTATTAAAGGCTATTAAAGGCTTAGCAGATTAGATAAAGGGGGAAAAGCGAAAAAAACCTCAAGACTCGCAAGGTATTTTCGTCTTGCGAAGCAAGCCCATAGGGGAATTCGTCCTGCGAAGCAACTTCAAAACGGAAAACCCTTTCGTCTAGCGGTTTTTCCGTCTTGCGAGGCATTCGTCTTGCGGGGCACCACTGTATTTAAAATGCATCTCTGGGTTATTTGTGGGGCATAGGAATTTGTTGATTCTCTTCCCCCCCCCAATATAGTCTGGCCCCCCACAAGGTCTGAGGGACAGTAGATCCGCCCCCTGCTGAAAAAGTTTGCTGACTCCTGGAGTTAGGCATGAAGCCAGCAGCCCTCACCTATTGTTTCCTAGGAAATGGGAGCCAGGTGACGTACTGCTGTGATCATGGAGTTTCCTTAAATGGCTAATAGTTAATTTTTTTCTAAACCTCGATTAATTGGTCTTATCTCCTTTCCAAGCAATCTCAGCCAGTGGTCACCACCGCCTGAATAAACGATGCTTTCTTTTGTCTATTATGGCTGTTTCCTGCATGGAAGCTGTGCCTCTCAGGAAATGGGACGGCTGGATCTATGAGCTGTTGCAGAAGAGGAGACAAGCAGGGACTGGACATAAGACTGTACCTTTTCCTCAACACGTGTCTCACTCAATACATTCCTCCTGCCCTTAATTCAGAAGTCAGGCCTACTGAGTTCAATGGGACTTGCTCCTGTGTAAGTGTGCATGGGGTCATCACATGCATCTTCTATGAACAAAAATGCTTCGCAGCTGCAGCAGCTGATTTGCAGGGTATCTGCAATGCATAATTTCCTGTTGTCCGTTTTGTTTTGTTTCGCTAGTGCTGGAAATAGCGCTGGAGCTTCCTTAACCAGACAGAGCCGGGTTGACCCAGAGAACCAGCAGGAGTCTGTTTAAGGAGGGGTCAGACAGCTTCCAATGATCAAGGCTCCTAGTGCTTCTCATTCAACACAGTGATAAAAATACCCCATTTCCCCTCACTGTGGCTTGATTCTATCTATCCAGCAGAAAAGGGTAGAGCCTGGATTTAGATTTGCTATTGAAAAGCTTTTCCGAACCCAGTGACTAGGGAGATTTGGTGATTTGCAGCCTGATTCTATCTATCTGTCTGCCCATCTATCTATTCTCAAAAAGTAAACCCCGTTAAGTTTAATGGGAGCAACTCATTTCTTCTTGCTACGAAAATAAGCCACAAGGATGCCCAGGGCTCCTGTTCCTGTAATAATTACCGTATTTTTCGCTCTATAGGATGCACCTTTTCTCCTCCAAAAATGAAAGGGGAAAGTGTGTGCGTCCTATGGAGCAAACGCAGGCTTTCGCTGAAGCCTGGAGAGCTCTCCAGGCTTCAGGGATAGCCGCCTGAAACCTTTGGAGCACAGCGGGAACTCGGGTTGTGCTCCAAAGGCTTCAGGTTGCTTTTGCTGAAGCCGGGAGAGCTGCGTCTTGAAGCGCGACTGGTGGGGTCTGCGCAGCTTGCCCCGAGGCAGCTTGGCTGGCCGGGTGGGTTGAGGGAACTCCTTGGCTATGCAGATGAAGTGCGGCATCACCGCCTGGTGGCTCGAGCAGATGCCCATCAGCTCCGCGGGCTTGGCGGCGGCGGCAGCCATCAAGCGGGGGAAAGAGAAAAGCAGCAAAAAAGGGAAAGCCGAGAAAGAGCGCGTGCGCCAGAAAACCAGCGCCCCAAAGAGCGCCTCACGCTTGGGTCTCACTTTGTGCTGCTGCTTATTCTTTGCTGCCTTGAGGCGTTTCTCTCTAATGTAAGGGAGACCCGGGCGAAAAAGGGGAAATGTGTGTGCGGAAAACCGCCGGAGGTGGGGCGAGAGGGTGACTTCTGCCGCTTCGCAGCTGAAAAAGCGCGCTGGGGAGGGAGGGCTGGTGGCGGCGACTGGCAGAAAGAAGCGCGCGCTCGACTTGTGTCCCCGCGCCACACTCTCTCTCTCGCCTGCCGACACAGGAGCATGCTCAGATGACAAGCAATGCCATTTAAAGGCGGTGAGGCCGCTTCCCTTCTGCCCGACGATGATGTAGACGCGTGCTCCCACCGCCCCTCTCCCTCACCGCCATGGGGGTATTGCTCTTCCAAGGAAAGCCCTGCCAGCACCCATCTCAGAAACGGCCGGGGGAGAGAGCGAAGGGACCCGGAAGGCGAGGCGGAGGTGGGGGGGGGGGGAGACGAGGAATGCGCCAAAACATGTCGGCCCTGCCTGCTGGGCGAGGGGGGTTCCTGGAGAAGAAGCACTCCCTTTTTTTGCAGGGGGAGGCGGCAAAGGCAGCCGGGAAAGGAGACGCGAAATAGGCGCGATGGGATCTCCCAACTTTCTTTCTTTCTTTTAAACTTTGAAGCAGCCACAGGGGAAGCATAGAATCATAGAAGTCCGATTCCGATCATAGAATTGTAGAGTTAAAAGGGGTCCCAAGGGTCGTCTAGTCCAACCCACTGCAGTGCTAGGGGATTTTATTAGCAGCGTTTACGGGGGGCGGGGTTTAAGTGCGCAAGTGTGGGTTTAAATCACGCTCCCCACATGGTCTCTTTCCTTCCTCTTTGCAGCCCCAAATCCTGGCTGCTGTTACCCCACCTGCACTGGGGATGGTTTTCACACACAAACACGACTTAAGACAGCAAAAATATCAGTGCAGACATACATCGCGTCGCTTGCAAAGCAGCGCTTGGTTTTGTCAACCCGATTTGGAAGGAAGATGTCTTTGGGATGGTTGGTCTGGGGCTCCGTCGCTTCAGCCCCCCTAACTCTAGCCTTGTGCTGCAAAATGGATCCCCACATCAATTTTTTTGATTTCCCCCCCTAAAAACTAGGTGCGCCCTATGGTCCGGTGCGCCCTATGGTGCGAAAAATACGGTAGGTAGAAGAAAGGATTTCAGATATTCTGCACCACTATTAAAGGTGCAGAAGGATTGTTTTCTTTGCATCTGGCCATACTATTTCAGATCCGGGTTGCTTTTCAAATAAAAAATTTGAACTGAGCTTGGATATTACAGGGGCCTGTGATTAGTTTAAAAAGTAAAAGTTTTCAGGGAGGGCCCACACGGCAAAAGAGGAGGAAGTTGTTGCTGCTCATCCTCATGTTGTGGGAAGCTAAAGCTTTCCCCATTTTAAAAAAGCAAGACTTAGAATAATAAAATCACAGAAGTGTAGAGTGGAAGGGACGACAAGGGCCATTTGCTTCTCCCAAGTAAATTTGCTTTGGCTTCCAGCTAAGAGTACCTGATCTGCACTTCCCTGTCTTATGCAACTTGACCCTAAGAATGCTTATTCAGAAGTAACTCCCATGGTTTCCTAGGAAATGTGAACGAGGTTGCTACTGAGGCAAGTTGATCGTATGCATGTTTAGTCATCAGAGCACAGGAAGCTGCCTTCTGCTGAGTCAGATCATTGGTCCATCTTGTGTAGTATCGACTGGCAGTGGTTCTTCTGGATTTCAAGAGAGGGTCTCTTCTAGTCCTACCTAGAGACACCTGGGATTGAACCTGGCACCTTCTGCATGCAAAGCAGATGCTCAGCCACTGAATCGCAGCCCTTTCCCCAACAGTCCAGTGCAGGTATCACTGTAGTCAGTGGTGCTCCCCCTCCAACAAGCATGTATAGCCTTGTCCCCATCATGTGAAAGCAGGTTTGCAGAGCTTGAGTTCCGTCATCCTCACACTGTGAGGCGAGTTACTGTTATTGTCACATTGCAAGTGAGCAGCAGCGAGATGCTGTGATCTGCACATAAAATCGTGGGAGAAATATTGGGCTGTGAACACTGGCTTTGCAGACCATATCCCCATTTTTCTAATGCAGGAAAGAATGAATGGTAGAATTCAGCATTGAACGTCATATGGGGACATAGAAAACAGTGTTTATACATAAGAGCCACAATCTTGACGTTTTTTGACACAGTTTATGTCTATAATGGTAAATGGTGCTCTGTGGTCCCAAGAAGGGAAAAGGAAAGGATGACAGGTATTCTGGGCCTGGGAGGAAAGACGAATGTACTGTTCTCACCTTCCTGTTGGTCCCTTAGTTATTCTTAGCTTTTTGTTGACTTTCTGTGCAACTGAGGGCCCTGAGAACACAGGATTTGCTCTAAAGGCACTGGCCATTGTTTCTCTAGCTGACATCCTGCCTCTCGCTATAGCCAATATTTGGTGTGTCAAAATAAAAAGGGGGATGGGGAGGAGAGAGGAAATGTACACAAACTGCATGGATCCCTGCATTGCAACATCTTTCCTCTCTGCCACAGCATGACTCACCCCATTTCTTTTCCAATCAGAATGTCTATAGTTCTCAAAGCATGAGCCCAGCTTCCTTAAGGTGTATGTCAGCAGTTGCTAGAGATGCTGCCCACTCCTTCCTCACCCATTTCAGCTTTGTAAAAAAAAGTTTATAAGTTAAAAGCTTATAAACATTGGGGAGGGGCGAGGGTGCATTCTAGGGTCTCCCCATCTGTCTAATATATGGGCTCTCGTTCTCCTTGCCTTTCATCTTATGATTAATAGTGCTCCTGTTTTTAGAATGGTTTTATTTGGAGACTTTAAAGTGCCTTTATCACCTGGCAGTGGAACTATGTTCTTGTGTGGTTTTCTCAGAGAAGACCAAATCCTGTGGGTGCTCTTCAACTAAATAGTTGTGCTGTGCTGGCACAGGGATTAGTGCTAATGCGGTGGGATTTCCTCCCCTGCCCATCTCCTCTCCCTTGCTTGTGCCCCCTCACCTTTCCCAAATCTGTTCTGGAGAGTTTGGGGAAAAACCTAGAAGAGATTTGGGGAGTGCTCAGGGGGTGGAGAGAACGTCCTTCCTCCATGCAAGGAGAAATCCCTGTACCACCAGCACATCTCCATAGCACTACTCTGAATAAAACCCTATAGCTTAGGGAGCATTATGACATGCTTCTATCCCTGTATAATGAATTAGAGCCAAACTCAAAGCAAATGTGGCAAACATGCTTCTTTTCACGTGTCTACCCTGTTTATATAGATAGTCTTTATACAGAGAGAGTCTTACTTTAGTAGCAATATATAGAGTATTGCTTTGGTAGTAAAATGGACATCTGGAGGAAATGGTGCTGATTCCTTCCTTATTCTCTTTACTACAGTTTAGCGGCACAGAATCTGCTTAGCATTCAGGAGGCCCCAGGTTCAGCTCTCAGGAATCTCCAGGCAGGGCTGAAACCCCGAGGAGCCACTGCCAGTCAGTGAAGACAATTCTGAAGTAGGTGGATCAATGTTCTGACTTGGTCTAAGGCAGATCTCTAGGTTCCTCCCTACAGCCCATTGCTCCAACCCCTTCATTCCATTCTGCTTCTCCAAGAACAAATAAACAGTGGTGCAAGCAGCTTTAAGGAGATAAGGTACTGGAGGGGAGGGGGTTTAATCTTCATCTGCCGTGCACTCATTTTACTGTTGGATGTAAGAACCACTACTATCCTGGATCTCCAGATTTATATTTCATTCGAAAAGGTGAGTGAATGATGGTTCCTCTGAGGAGCACCATCTCTTTCAAAACAACCATAGAAATGTCATAAGGGAGCACTGAAAATATATATTCAACTGCTAATATCAGGGATGTGGGCAGAGAAATCTGTCCAACAGCATGAGTTGTATGCCCCTTAATAGCAGGGGAACCTTTACTGCTGCCCCACCTCTGCCCCAGATGCAAAGAAGACATGCTGGCTTTTTCCCCCTGCATGGCAAACATCACCTGAAAACCTTGGCGTGTTTCATAAGATAATAAAAATAAAAATAAAAATAAAAATAAAAATAAATAATTTATTATTTATACCTCACCCATCTGGTGGGGTTTCCCCAGCCACTCTGGGCGGCTTCCAACAAAAGATTAAAAATACATTAAAACATCAGTCATTAAAAAAACTTCCCTAAACAGGGCTGCCTTCAGATGTCTTCTAAATGTCAGATAGTTGTTTATTTCTTTGACATCTGATGGGAGGGAGTTCCGCAGGGTGGGCGCCACTACTGAGAAGGCCCTCTGCCTGGTTCCCTGTAACTTTACTTCTCACAGTGAGGGAACCACCAGAAGGCCCTCGGCGCTGGACCTCAGCATCTGGGCTGAACGATGGGGGTGGAGATGCTCCTTCAGGTATATTGGTTGAAGCCGTTTAGGGCTTTAAAGGTCAGCACCAACACTTTGAATTGTGCTCGAAAATGTACTGGGAGCCAATGTAAGACTTTCAAGACCAGTGCTATGACTTCTTTTCTCAGTAGTTATATGATTTATATCATCTCTGAGCCTCATGCACCTGCAGTTTTGTAGCACTTTTCACATAGTGCAATAAAATCCTGGCAATTTATGTGCAATGTCTTGAGTTCGGTGTGTGGCTCTCTTGTGCATGTTGATGCTGATCACCAGCCACAAAGTTTCCAGAATGAACCCTGTATGCTTTTTTTTTGGGGGGGGGGGTGTTACTGAAGGGTAAAACACTGTGAAGTCAAGTATTAAAGGAAAGATCTGGAGGACATTTTGTTACCTCTTTATGCGGGATACTGACGTACTCTGCTTACATTTTATTCTACTGGTTCCACATTCCTGGTGGGGAAAAGAATCCCCTTCATTTTGCTTCATAGTTGATGTAAGATTCTGTGGTGCCAGAGCTGCCGCTCCCCACACTGCTCCACTTCCTCCCTTCCCTGTTGCTGTTGTCACACTTGTTGCGAGGGGGGCTACACAAGAGGCATACGGGCCAGAGCCCATTACTCCCTTTTGAGCAGTGCTTGGGGGATCCATCAATCTTCTGCCCCGACGTGCTCCTGCGACTCATGTCCAAAGACGTGAGCACGCATTGACTTAGCAGAGTCAAAACAACAGCAGAAGCTAGGCTCGAGGTGTGAGTACTAAGCTATTTATTACTGTGGTACCTCAGGTTACAGATGCTTCAGGTTACAGGCGCTTCAGGTTACAGACTCTGCTAACCCACAAACATAGCTGTCAACTTTTCCCTTTTTTAAAGCGAAATTTCCCTTAAATTAAGGGAATTTCCCTTAAAAAAGGAAAACGTTGACAGCTATGCCCAGAAATAGTACCTTGGGTTAAGAACTTTGCTTTAGGATGAGAACAGAAATCGCGCAGCGGCAGTGGGAGGCCCCATTAGCTAAAGTGATACCTCAGGTTAAGAACGGACCTCCAGAATGAATTAAGTTCTTAACCCGAGGTACCACCGTATATACATAACAGGACAAAGAAAACATATCTCCTTTCTCTCTTCTTTCTTGGAGAGAAGGGAATTCAAAAGCACAACAGAACGGAACAGTGTAAAACAACTTCCGCTCCCATGACTCGTGTTGGAATGTAAACACACAGACATGTGATGAAACAATCCCACATATCTGCATAGCGGGAAATGAAATCCCAACAAACCTTCTCTCCCCTCCCCCCAATTTATTTTTCGAAATGCAGCAGCACTGGCTCTGCCTTTCCTCTGCCTTGCTCCAAGAACAGCCCAGGGAGCCCTTCCTCAGAGCGAGGCATTCTGGGAAACTGCCTGTGCCACTGCCATGGTTTGCCGCAGTGGTTAGAAATGCTGTCTAAGCTTGCGAGGGGGGGACGGGGACCTTAATGGCAGCGTATCCATCATGACTAGTAGCTATTATTCTCAATTTTACTGCATTAAGCTTGTTTCCAGTACACAGATTTATTTATTTATTTATTTATTTCATTCTCTTTAAATAGGCGTAGGAGGAAATGGTGGAAGCTTAGATTGACAACAGAATGCCGTTTCTTATATTGTTGCATGTCACTCCAATCTCCAAGTGGTGTGAGATTCCAGGAGTTACCCAAAGTTCAGTTTCTTCAGAATGAGGGACAGCAGAGACTGTGGTGTCTTTATGGTTTATGGTTTATTTACATATATATACAACCTGAACCAAAGATGGAGGGGCTCACAGCAGTAACACCCCAGAAGGTCTTGCTTCTATAATAGTCTCAGAGCTCTCCTCAGGCTTCTGCTGTCCGCTCGCTTGTAGCCTGGCTCTAACACACTCCACTCTGGCTATTGTCTTTCTCACTACCAGCCAGGTGAGGGAAGAAACCCACCCATTTGCCCTCTGACTGACACTAAAGCCACTTCTTTTGTAAGACTAAGGACCATGGTTTGGTGGTACTTAGGCCCCTTCCATGGCTAATTCAACAATGGAATCCTCCAGGGGATTAGAAGGGACTCAGGCACCTTACAAACTAACCCTGCACCAGCTCACAATACTATGGAAGCCTGCCGGTCTACAGCAGCAAATGAAGAATTGGGTTCATTTTTAGAAATATTGGGTTGTTCCCCACAAAGTCATCCTCTTAGTGCAAGGACTTCTGCCTGTGCAATGGGACTTGCTCTGCGTCTCCTTGTCTGCTGAGCCCTCTGAAATCTGTTCTGTGTATCCCTCCAATCATCTGGAGAAGATTTCGTGGGAGTGTGAGGTGTGTGAGGTGCGCAGAGTGAGAGAAGGGAGTCCTGTTGTGCAGGTGGACACCTTTGCACTAATGGGACAACTTTGCTGAGTACAACCCACTATTTTTTTTAAAAAAGAGACTGCTCAGGCAGGTTTGTATCTCTAACACTATTCAGCATACAGAGTCATCTCCTGAATAGTGAGTCACAGAGAAGGTACTTTCAGCATGTGACAGGGCCTAAGTTTGAATTATGAGCTAAAAGGAAGAGAATTTCAGTGCAAATACCTCCGTGGCTGCACTCAGGAGGCTGAGCTACTGGGATTGCTTCCTAAGAAGCAATTGTCTACCAGCAGCAGAATCCTGTTTCTTAGCTTAATCAAGCCACAGGGGTCCATTAAAATGTATGCCAACATGTACATTACTTTAGTACTTACAGCCCGGGAGTCTTAAAAGTGCAGGCAACGCTTCTGCGTCTTAGGACTCTGCCTCTTGCAAATCTCTTTATGCCTCTCGTATTCGATGAAACCTTTTGTTATGGACAAAAAGGTGTGCACAACAGTAGTGAAAAATGCAGGGACAGCCACTCTGTTGGAACATAATCCAGCAGTGAAAGTACCAGATGCAGTCGAGGGAAACAGAAAGTTCCCTGCGGCAAGCAGTTGCTGGAATTACCCCTCTATGTTAAAGCTCTTATATATGGATCTAAATATCCTACAAGTTTAGAATAGTGCGAGCAGCAGAAGGCAGTGGATTGGAGTGGCAGCACTCCACTGACCTACAGTCCCCTCTGTTGCTGATGCATACTGGGCTGGAAGAGGAGGGAGGCAGCGAGGTTGTCATGGTGCAAACACACCAGCAGGAGCACCGGATTAGCTCCACCAGTGCATTTGCATTGCACGGACCTCACTGCAGCAGTGACACCAGTGACCGGAGGTTGAATGAGCACTGCCCCTACCCCACCGCTGCCCACTCCATGGTGTCCCCTCTGTGCAGGCAGGTTTCTAAATTGCAATGGGAGGAGACTCCATGAGCACGATAGGCTTCCCAGTGCAAATGTTCTCCCTCCCATGTATGGAGCGTGGCAGGGCCAGGCAAGGTTATGCAATGGGGGGAGGGGGGGAGGATTAGCCAATGTACCCCTGGTCTCCATCAAGTGATTCAGATCAAGTGGTGGAATGAAATGCCCATATAATATTTCAGAGAGCCAGCGTGGTGTAGTGGTTAAGAGCAGTGGACTCATAATCTGGGGAACCGGGTTCGCGTCCCCGCTCCTCCACATGCAGCTGCTGGGTGACCTTGGGCTAGTCACACTTCTCTGAAGTCTCTCAGCCTCAATCACCTCACAGAGTGTTTGTTGTGGGGGAGGAGGAGAAAGGAGATAGCTAGCTACTTTGAGACTCCTGAAGGGAGTGAAAGGTGGGATATCAAGTTCAAACTCTTCTTTCTTCCATGCAGCCTTTGTCACAGTCCATGTAAAATCACAGATGACCATCACTACCCTTGAAATCTAATAGTGATTGTAGTCTTCTTATTGGATGGCAGTGCTAGACGGTGTTCCTTGTCACCACTACAACTGGAGGGTTTTTTTCTCTGACCTTTGGTAATCTTGGCCCACTCTGTGGAAGCCTTCTGCATGTTTGAAAATTATTGTTATGCCCCTTTTATCACTGCTAAAAATGCCTTCATTATTTCCTTCCTGCACTTTGCATTCCAGCCACTATCCTATTGCTGTTGTTGTTTTGCCCTGTTTGGAGCCTGTTTATCTTAAAATGCAGCAACCATGGCATTCCTTTCTAGCTGGGGACGCAGTGCTCCAAGTACTTTGTCTTCATCATGCATACAAGGGGTCTTTTGGCTCAGCTGTGAACACTGCTATTTCAGCCCAATACATTCTAATCTGGTTGCAATTTCACACTTTCTTCCAACATTCTTTTGAAGATCCAATCTTTTCCCCTCCCAGTAGTGAGGAATTTCTCAAAGGTCCTCAAATCAGATACTGTTAGCCTTTCTGCCCTTAAGCAAATGCTAGAACCGTTTCTGCCTTTGCCCACTGCCATGCAAAATTAAGTCTGCAGAAAAGCAGTAGAAAATCTAAGGTATGCTATGTGGTTCTAGCCTTCTGCTTCAGCAAAACCAAAAGCAAAAACCCCTCCATGTTTCTCACTTCTAGGGCACTATGGATATATTTGTGTCACTGTTTTATACAGTGGTCAGTGACCACAGATGTTTCTTGTCCTGTACAGGGAAAATGTGGCTGGTGAAGATTATGTAGCCTTGTACTGTGGCTACATCAACAATACTTTGGAGCAGTTAGTCAACTTTTTCCATTTTAGACCAGTCAGTGTATTCAAGAAAGCTTTGGGATGGCTCCTGCAGTGCATTGAACCTGGTCCATAAAAGCTTATGCCGTAATAAATGCATTAGTCTTTAAGAATGTTTTTGTTTTTACATTGCATTAAGAATACTCCAGTTGGAAGGGACTTTGAAGATGCAACTATTGATGACTGATAAGAGAGCTGTCCAGCCTCCAGTCAAGCAGAACCCACCTTATCCCATGGCAAACTGCTCCTCTGTTAACCAACGCTTACCTTTAGGAAGCTTAGCTGAAATCTGTTTCCCTGCCATTTCTAGTCATTGTTTCTAGTCCTGCCCCCTGAAGCGATGGAGACCCATTGAGGTTAATGGACATGACTAACTCGGGTTCATTAATTGCAGTGCTGAGCAGAGTCCTGCGCTGTGTCGTCAACCAGCTCATGAATGCCTCAGCACACATCATTAGAAGCTAAACACCAGTACAAGCAACTTCTGCCATGATGGTGGGCATGAAGATCATGGTCCCTGCGTGTTACCTTTTCATTAACTCCCAGGCACTTTTCTACCTTGAAATTATTTGTTACGCTAGCTGCTTTTTCTTAAATCATGTTTACCGCCTGTCCCACAACACAACAACAACAACAACAACAACAACACAGTCCTTGGGAACAGCTGCAGACTTAAGATCAAATGCAGCTGCCAAAAATAAGGAAAAAAAGGGCATCCTCTTAACACATGTAATGTGTTGGGGACAATCATTTCCTGCTGCAAATTGAAAACAGCTGAGTTTTCAATCCTGGAGGAAAGGTGTTTTCAGGTGTGACAGCCAAGGCCTTTAGCTGCACTGGTCCCGGAGAGAGTTGCTTTAATCACCTTGACAGGGTAGTTTTCCTTGCCGCCAGTTCCAGATTATACTACTCTCATAAACACTCATTTAGCTCCTTGGCACATAGGACCTGATCATAGGCAGTGTCTATTATCACAGCTTCCTGGCTACAAATTCAGTGAAATACAAAGTGTAGAAGCTGCTTTTTATGACTGCAAACTGTCGAGGATAGCAAGGAGGAAATTCCCTCTGATGTTTAAGCTGCATGCAAGAACTTGTGCTGTAATGCACAGTAGTAAAATTATTTTAAGAAGTGAGTGTGCGTGTGCATAGGAGGAAATCCCTTACTAAACACAAATCTTCTGTTCCTATTACAAGACTCCTGCTTTTGGGATGAATAAAACTGCCTGGAAGGATGGCTCTGGCAAGGCTGCTTTGCACTCATAAAAATATAGTCCATCCTATGATACAAGCTTTCTGCCAGAGGTCATCACCTTGGGCTGAAACCAGCATTTCAAAATTAGATCACTTAATGTAAGCTACAAACATCCTTGGGTGGTAGTAATATTACTTACTCCTACTTCAACGACATTCCAGGCCAAAAATGTGTCCCCACAGCTGTAGGATTTCCTTATTTAATATTTGTTAACTGTTTACAAATGTTATGCTGGACAGATATAGCTACCAAAAGCTAAACTCATGGTGCAAGCTTCCTGCCTAATGTCAGTGTCAGGGGTTTCCAAGAAAGTGTGATGAAGGTTGCACCTTTATATTCCCAGATTGCTCCAGGGCACTGTAGTTCTGTGAAGTGTTGGGAGAATACCCAACACGCTAGCAAAAGTAGAACTCCCATGTTTCCTTGGAGGATTCTGTTAATGTAAAATAGACTGAGAACAAATCTTGCGTTGTGGGATGTTCCCCTTGTTCAGGGTGCCAGCCCTTTCTTGCCCTTTCTCAGGTGTCATGGACTGGTCGGACGCAGAAGGATGGCAGGAAGAACCAGCTGGGGAACCACCAAGAGAAGACGACTTAGAGCCAGGGGAGTGGTGATTTGACGACAGTGAGTGGTCAGAGGGAGAAGATTGGGAGGAGGTGTCGGAAGCTGAAGAGGTAAAAGGGCTTAGTGAGTGTGTGTATCTGTGGCAGAGAGCAGTCCAGAGTTGTAGGTAGAAGCTGAAACAGGAGAGGAAGGAGGCTAAGAGACAGAGATGAGTCTAGCTGGTGAAGAGGCATGGGTGTCTCCTCCTGCTGCTGCAACATGCTCCCCTCCCTGTTGGTCTCCCAGAACCAGGAGAGGCATGAAGAAAGCAGAGAATAACCCCACCACCCAGAGTTACTCAGCTTTCTGTGGCCACTGAGCATGCTCAGACCACATCATACTGTTTCTGTGTGAAGAATTTCCCTTGCTAAGGATTCTGCCCCCCGCCCCACTTTCATTTTTGTACTTCTGCAACGTTTGCAGATGTAATGATCATTCAGAAGCCTACGTTGGAACAGCATCATAGCCCCACCCCCTGGTAATCTGATGGACGTGGGTGGCACTGTAGTCTAAACCACTGAGCCTCTTGGGCTTGCTGATCAGAAGGTCGGCGGTTCGAATCCCCATGACTGGGTGAGCTCCCGTTGCTCAGTCCCAGCTCCTGCCAACATAGCACGCCAGTGCAAGTAGATAAAAAGGTACCACTGCAGTGGGAAGGTTAACGGTGTTTCCGTGCTCTCTGGTTTTCGTCACAGTGTTTCATTGCGCCAGAAACAGTTTAGTCTGTGGACAAATACCGGCTCCCTCGGCCTGAAAGCCTGAAAGCGAGATGAACGCCGCAGCCCTGTAGTCGCCTTTGACTGGACTTAAGCATCCAGGGGTCCTTTACCTTTTACCTTTAATCAGATGAAGCAACCTTTGTGCAATTAAGCAAAGAGTCAGATGATGGATGCATTGGCTTCTTTAATTCACAGCCACGCAGTGGCCCAACAGTTTTCTTTAACTATACCAGATCGTGGTGAAATGGATGAACAATTCTTCTTTTTAAGGTTTTTCCCCCCCTACTCCTCTGTTCGTATCAATGTATGTCTTGCTACACCTGTTAGTCTTCCCTATTGTATTGGCTGGGGTAGTATCAGGATCTCATAACCAAGCTATTTACACAGTTCATTAGATTCACTTACCTCTGGTGATGAATCTGCCCTCCTCCGTTTTCTCTCTTATAAGCCGATTATTAGATCTCTACTACATGCTCCTCTTTGACCTTTTGCGCCCTCCCGCTCTCGTCCTAGCAGCGTTATTTATTTTCAGTTCAGTTTCTTTAGGTTTCCGTATCAGTCTTTCTTCCTCTCTGTTCTGGATGAAAGTAATTTTGTCGCTGGGATCACACAAGCCTCCTTTGGGGTCTTGCCTTCACACCCTTAAGAAACGTTTCCATAAAAAGTGATGATGGCCTGCCGTTTTTGTTTTTAAATTATAATAATGCCCACTTCCCTCCAAATCACAGTGTTTAAATTACTACCATTCTCAAACCAGCGACCCGAAAGAAAGTAGTAAAACACACACATGCCCACAGCCAACACATCTCACCACTAGATATGGTTTGATTTTTATGCCTCAGGAGTCATTAATTTTTCAGTCATTCTGCTTGTACAACAGAGGGGCCTGGAATTGCCTTGCATGGCCCACTGTCTCTAGAATTTCAATTGTGAGTTTCTCAGGAACCTCCAAGGTGAGGATGGATGTTAACATCCAGCAGGGGGGAAAAACCTGGATGTTCTTGTCGTGTTTCCATTGCAGCATCATTGTGGTGAGCCATGTGGCCAACATACACAGGCAAATGTATGCTGTTAAAAATAAAGACATAAATACAAATTGTGCACCTGGACAGCCCAGTTATGTGTCAAGAAATGTTGGCTTCCCCTCTCTTTAGAAACAATGCAATGATTTGCCTCTTTTTCCTAATTGGCAGAATATGCTCTGGTATTGCTAGTCAAGGGAAAGGTAAAGAATTTCCTGATTTTATCCACAGGAAATTAATTCAGCCACTCAGACTTCTAGAATTTCAGTAGGCTTTGCCCATCCACTTTAAAGCATATATTCCCATCCATGAGGGCTAGAAGCTTGATTTTTTAGAAAGAAAGAAAGAAAGAAAGAAAGAAAGAAAGAAAGAAAGAAAGAAGCCAATGTTCTCAGTAACCTGAACTCTATATAACATTTTGCACTTTTTCTGAACTCCTGCAGAATCGCAGCTTGAACACAGTCCTGGCTATAGAGCTACATGACCTGCTGGACTATTGACTTTTGTGGAGCACACAGACTTCACACGGTCAGTATTTAGTAATTAGACCAGTGGAGGTGCTGGCAAGGAAGTGACTTATAGGAATTTAGCGACAAAAGGATGGATATGGTAGTGGCCTTTAAAGGCCTTTTCAATTTATTAGGGCAGAATATATAAATAACAGCCGGGAGTGAGACTCTGGAACTGAACTGTAAAAAGGCTGAGGCTTTTTAAAAAAATGAGCAAATTAATTTTCTCTTCGCCAGCTTGTTCTTCTAGGGTAATAGGGAACTGCGCTTGTCAGGGATGATCTGGTTCTGGACACACACACACCCCATCCCACTCCCAGCCCTTTACATCATGCTGAGCTGTGGGTGAATGGAAATCTCTTGTCTTGTCTTTGATTCCCCTTACTTGGACTGTCAGAGCCACCATCAGCGCCTGACATGGTGAGGCAATGCCAGGACTTCCACCCACCATGGCCACCTCTGCCCACCCCCTTGGAGAGTATTGGCCCAGTGCCATAAAGAAAACTAGTGGCAGCCCCTACTCTCTTATTTCCAGTGTCTCAGAGTCGCACCCCCAATGTATCACATTGGTTTAGGTGTAAGGAAGGTTGAGACACCAATGGCTGTAGTAAAATGGCTGGCATGTTTATTATTATTATTAGCCTGACCAGTGTTGGGCGAAGAGAGTACAGTGGTACCTTGGTTCTCAAACACCTTGGTACTCAAACACCTTGGAACCCAAACACTGCAATCCCAGAAGTAAGTATTCCGGTTTGCAAACGTGCTCTGTTTTGAGTGTTACACTGAGGTCTGTCTCTTTTTGCTATTTATTTTGTGGTTTTGTTTTTGCGGCTTTTTTGTTTTGTTTTTGTGACTGTGTGGAACCCAGTTCAGCTACTGATTGACTGATTGATTGATTGATTGTGTGATTGCAGTACATGGTTTATTGCTTTTTATGGATCAGTGGTCTGGTTAAATAGTAAAATTCATGTTAGCTTGCTGTTTTAGGGGTTGTTTTTAAAAGTCTGGAACGGATTACGGTAATCCGTTTTCCATCACTTTCTATGGGAAAGTGCACCTTGGTTTTGGAACGCTTTGGTTTTGGAACAGACTTCCGGAATGGATTAAGTTTGAGAACCAAGGTACCATTGTACAGTCAATTGGAGGTGAGCTGCATCCAGACACTGCCTATCCCCTCCCCCCCGGGTAAGATTTGGAGATCCCACCCAAGAGGTGCACAGTGCTTTTTGAGCTTTTTTTAAAGGAAAAAGGGTGCTGGTATTCACTGTGATGTTATCACAGTAAATGCCACACTTAACATTTGGGGGGGAGAGAAGTGCCAGTACTGCGTACCCTTGAGTACCCTCAGAAAAAACCCCCAGCAGGTGCATCATCAGAGGGTACCTTGCCCAGGAGCTGAGTTAAACCTGGTGCCAGCCCTGAGAACTGTTATGACAATGGGCAGGCGAAAATCTAGGGGTCCCTCTTGAGGCCTGCTTAAAAGCCAGTAAAGGTTGCGCCAAACATATATTCTTTGGGATGGGGTTGCGCAGAGAAGGCCCTGTTTCTGTCGCCCGCTCATCTACTCAATCTTACTAGCCGACTTGGCCTACATGTAGAGTCTCTGAGGCTAATCTTAGGGCCTGCACAAGTTCATATGGGTGGAAGCCAAACTTCAAATAACCTGGCTGCCAACCCTGTCAGGAGCCTAGTGAAGCCACATTAACAGGTACTATTTAAATCTCTCTCTTTGCCCACGGGCCTGTTCTCTGCTTAAGCACACGAGGCCCAAAAAGACATTTCATAAAGGAACCACCGTACGAGGCTTAAATGGAAGACAAGAGTGGAGCACACTCAGCGAGATATCATCTTGAACCTCTGTTTGTAGGATTCACATCCTTAGGGAGGCCCTTGTGTAAGCCTCCTTTCACCTGAGAGACTCAATTATATTATCTTTCCATTTCTGTTCCAGCTGAAGCACTTTTTTTCCTCTTTAACACAAGCAAGCTGAAATCCTGGTTTCCCCAAGGAGACATTCTTTCTGATTATATCATTTTAATGATTCAACACACATAAAAGAGAAGCTATAGAGAATCTCCTGTATTAGCTTGCCCTTTGCCACACACGCAAAAATACATCTGCTTTCCCCTTTCAGAAGAGGGGTCCATTGGCAGCTTTTCTACCTGCGCCATTTAAATCCCCCCTATTCTGTTCCTGAATCTCTTCACAGCACTGCTTCTTAGCAAGCCCCAAACTCTGGGACATTGTGAAACTTCACACAATCTATATGCTAACCATTCCTTGCTTTCTCAGAAATGACATGCTTTTGGGTAGTGATTTAACTTACGGTTCTTTGGATTTCCAAACATTTCAAAAAATGAAAGCCACTCCATATATGCTTCCAAGGACTCAGCTATACAGCTGCAAATAAAACGTTTTAAGTGTGTTGTAAAGTGCAATACAGTGGTAAAGGTAAAGGTACCCCTGCCCGTACGGGCCAGTCTTGACAGACTCTAGGGTTGTGCGCTCATCTCACTTTATAGGCCGGGAGCCAGCGCTGTCCGCAGACACTTCCGGGTCACGTGGCCAGCGTGACAAGCTGCATCTGGCGAGCCAGCGCAGCACACGGAACACTGTTTACCTTCCCACTGGTAAGCGGTCCCTATTTATCTACTTGCACCCGGGGGTGCTTTCGAACTGCTAGGTTGGCAGGCGCTGGGACTGAACGACGGGAGCGCACCCGGCCGCGGGGATTCGAACCGCCGACCATGCGATCGGCAAGTCCTAGGTGCTGAGGTTTTACCCACAGCGCCACCGGGTTAAATACTTAATTCGTTCTGGAGGTCTGTTCTTAACCAGAAGCACCACTTTAGCTAATGGGGCCTCCTGCTGCCGCCACGCCGCTGGAGCACGATTTCTGTTCTCATCCTGAAGCAAAGTTCTTAACCTGAGGTACAATTTCTGGGTTAGCGGAGTCTGTAACCTGAAGTGTATGTAACTTGAAGCGTATGTAACCCGAGGTACCACTGTATACAAATGTGACACTAGATGGCAACAGTATGCTATGGCAAATTCAATATATTTTTCAAAACCTTTTTAAAAAAGCATTTTCACAGGGTATGTAGATTCCACCCAAATTCAGGATGCAAAGAAAGACAGATCAATGGTATAAGGCAACTTCCTAAGTTCTTACAAACTGACTCTCTTGGTGTGTGTAGTGGTTAAGCTAGTGTGGTGTAGTGGTTAAGAGCGGCAGACTCGTAATCTGGGGAACCGGGTTCGCGTCCCCGCTCCTCCACATGCAGCTGCTGGGTGACCTTGGGCCAGTCACACTTCTTTGAAGTCTCTCAGCCCCACTCACCTCACAGAGTGTTTGTTGTGGGGAAGGAAGGGAAAGGAGAATGTTAGCTGCTTTGAGACTCCTTCGGGTAGTGATAAAGCGGGATATCAAAACCAAACTCCTCCTCCTCCTCCTCCTCCTCCTCCTCCTCCTCCTCCTCCTCTTCTTCTTCTTCATTAAGGCACATAGAATAAAGCCCTGTTCTTATCTTACAGGCACACATTCACTGCACACATGGAAAGGGAGCTGCTTCATGGCTATTAGTCCTGTTCCGCAACTTTCATATTTCCAGCTCTATACAAATACTGCTGTGTGCATGTCTGGAAACCCTGGCACAATGAGAATTTCCAGTCACATGTACAGAGTGCATGAGTACAGCCTGTTCATACTTTTGCTTCTCCAGTGAACACATGCTAAAGTGAAAACGGCTAAGGTACCTGTGGGGCAATGGAGAAAACGAAGGATTTCAGGACTCAGAGCTACAAGGGGTCCTGAACTGTAACCTGAGGGAACCAAGGATTTTGCCTATGATCTAGCACTGACCAAAGGGAACACAGGGAATTCAACAATGTCAGCCAAAGAAGCTTTCCTCGTCCAATAGGCCAGAACAGACCAGGTGGCATTCTCTGATACATATAAAGAAAACCCCTCCAGCTCTGTCCATGAGCAACTAGGATATAATATAATAATAATAATAATAATAATAATAATAATAATAATAATAATACAGTCATACCTCCAATTACGTATCCCTCTGGATACGTAATCTTTGGGTTGCAAACACGGCAAACCCAGAAGTATTTTTCCAGAAGCACTCTACGCATGCACAGAAGCGGTCCTCCAGTTGTGAATTCCTCGGGTTGCAGCCAGACCTCCGGAACGGATTCTGTTTGCAACCGGAGGTACCACTGTAGTAGTAGTAGTAGTAGTAGTAATGATGATAATAATAATAATAATAATAATAATAAAATATAAAATAAAAATAATAATAAATAATAAATAATTTATACCCTGCCCATCTGGCTGGGTTTCCCCTGTAATCTATCCTTTTTGTCTTCATGGCAGCTGGCCCATTAAGAGAACAGTGGGATTTTGTAACTTCTAGATTGAAATCAGACTTGGGTTTAGTATTAAGCTACCTCTCGAACTGAAAAACTATTCTGCCTTTTGTTCACAAGTTTTCCTTTGTCTTCTCAAAAACAGGAGCAGCACGGTGATGCTTGCTGGTTTATGTTGTTTGTTAGGCAATACAGCAAGCTAAACTGAAGCAACCCTAGAGTCTTGCGACTCATGTTTACCCAAGAGATGTGCCATTATTAGCGAGCAGCATGGGAAAGAAGAGAGAGACTATTTGTAATCACCCCCACCCTGGCTATTAAAAACCCCCTGTGTTTTTAGAAAATCCCCTTAAAGATGCATTGCGTTGAAGTTATAATGTAACATGCTCAGACATTTCCTTTCGCTAGGCCCTCCATATCTAGTGAGTAGAACATTGCCAAAAGTAGGGTGTTGTCTCCGTGGAAAGATGTTTTAAAACTGTTGGGAGTCAATGGCAAGGAAAAACAGCTAACACTTTCTTTCTTTTTATTATTATTATTATTAATTAAATTTTATTAAGTACAAATTAGAAAACATACATATTTACAACAAAAGAAAATATGTAAGAAAAAGAAAATACATATAACCAAGGAAAAAAGTTAGTGACTACTTTGTCTCTTTTCATATTTACAATTATTTATACCTCTATAAAATGCTGTTCACAATAAAGGAGTGAAATGAAAGAAATCAGAAAAAAGAAGAAAAGAACAAAGAAAAAATAAAGAAGTAAAAGAAAAGGATCATAGGTGAAAATTTTTAAAAGTAGATAAGTATTCACTAAACATAGCCGGACAACGACAAACAGCTAACACTTTCTTTAACAGGGATGTGTTGGCAACACAGTGAGGTCTTGAGGATACTAGGTCATGGAGCCCATCTCTGAATAAACATGCGTATTGCTGTGCTATAATTGACACCGTGTGGGGTTTACTGTCACCCGGAGTAAATTGATGTTGTTATATTGATTTTGAGGGGCTTCTGTTTTTTTGTGCTCCAGCTCAATGATTTGAGTTGTGTGGCATTGTTGTTCTCCCCCCTGGGAATTAGGGTAATGAAGTTCAAAACAAAACATCACTTCATCATAGGATAGGAAGGATAATTTCCAACATGCCTGTGTTTCGGAATGTCGGTGTGCGACAGACAGAAAGTGATTGGCACCAAGTAGGACTTTGGAATTAATGGGGACTTGACATGTGTTGATTATGTGTATGTAGCATAACATTTTGCATGACTGTATCAGCTGCCAGGCCGTAGTTGGGGGACATTATTCACTTCTGTGCTCTACTACACAAGCTAGAAACGGTTGACTTGATGCCTTGTTTTATTTTCAAGAAGTTATTTTGGGCATATTTGGAAGAGTAACATCTCTATCTCACCAGCTAAATATTCCGTCTGGCTGGGATGGCTCAAAACGCCAGTACAGCTTTAACCCTCAAATCATGAAATGAAATGAGTTTGCATTTGTTTTATCAGTCTTCCTGCTTTTTAAGTATTTCGGGGTCAATGTTCCCCTTTGAAACCTTTCTTCACTTCCAGGATAGCCAGAAGCATTTCTTTAAACATGAAAATTTGGGGGAAGCACTTAGCCCTTTGATTTCTAAACTTATGGGCCAAATTAAACTGTACTGGGAACTTAGAGCTGCAGCTGTTTATCCAGATTTCAGTGGATTATTCACTTGATGTGATCAGATCTTTGTGAAATATTAGGGCAAATGTCAAAGTGGCCATCCTAGGGTATGGCTGTAGAAGGCATCATCTGTGCATCAACATTTGACTGACATTATAGCTTTGTGAGGCTGGAGCAATTTCCAGATTGGTTTAACAATCAATCTCTCTTCCCAGGGAGTTCTGCGAATTGTAGGTCTATGAGGGGAATAGAGGTCTGCTAACCACTTCCAGTACCTGCAACAAACATTAGTTTGTTTCTTTGCTTTACAAAAGCCACTCAAAGTAACTTACAATAATATATAAACATGATGTCGCCAGCCTTCCTCTTAATGACCATTGCATGGAAAATAGACGATACAGATGTGCTGAAAAAAAATAGTAATTATTAAATATAATATGTTTATTTTGGGTTTCTTTATTTTATTGCATCGCTGCTGGCTCAAGAGGATCATGCGGTATTTTTGTTTCTTTATTTGTTTTAAAGTGAATATTATTTAGGCACCTTGGGAGACTTTTCAAAAGGCTTTATAAGCAAGCAAGCTTTATAAGCTAGCTCTCAAAACAGTTCTTAGGAGTAAATTTTCTTAATTAGTTTTGTACATATGTTTAAAAAGAGCAGAAAAAGAGTTGTAGTTAACTAAGGTCAGAGCAGATTCATTGAAATTAATGGTCCTAAGTCTATTCATTTCAATGGGTCTGCTCTGAGTAGGACTTAAACACTGGACACCACCTCAGTTCTTTAAAATTGATGTTAATTCTGCCTTCCTCCTGACCAGGTTTAGCTATTTGAGGTCAAATCCACACAAGACACTAGGAGCACTCATATTACTTTGACAGAAATCCCCTCTCCTCAAATTATGGGAACTGTAGTTTACTAAGAGTGCTGGGAATTGTAGTGGTCTCCTGACAACTCTCAGCAGCTATAATAAACTACAGTTCACTGGATTTTGAAGTGGAAACCATGACTGTTAAAGTAGTAAGAGTGCTTTAAATGTATGGCCTGGATGGGATCTGGAATAACTCCCAAACTTTAGACAAGAGCAGCATTGGGAGGGAGTTTGTTGTTAAAAAGTGACACTTACTGTAACAGCTTCATGGTGAGTACCGGTACCTATTTTTCTAGGGAAAAAAGCACTGCCCCCAACTACCCACTTCCCCTCTCCAAAGGCCCCCTTGGGCAGATGTTCAGATCCATATTGATAATGGCCGCGAAGTTTGCAAAGCAGCAAGTGGGCATTTGCAAAAGCGAGTTGACTGGCAAAAGGGTATTTCAGGCAATGAAAACAGCCACATGAAGTGCATTCCAAGAGGGAAATATTGCTATCCTACTGCAATCTTCGTATGGCGTATGAATATAAAGATGATTGATACGCTGTGCTGCATCAGGATATCTGCTTGGTTAAATATGAAAGCGCCTTTTGCAGCTGCATTGGCATCAGCCATAAATAATACATTTGCGTGTCTGTGTGCTTTTCCTTTTTGCAAAAGTTGCTTCCCCAAGAGGCCTTAAGAATATTCCCAGGATCTGGAAGTCTTTCATGTCTTCCGCACCCAGGTGACTCTGAGCATATTTCAAGGACAGTGCCTGGTGAAGCTTGCAAGTCAGTACAAGTGAAGGGCAACTGTAAAAATAATAAAAACTGTGCATATATATATAGAGAGAGAGAGAGAGAGAGTGTGTGTGTGTCATTGGGGCATAAAAAGAATTGGTTTGGCCTTTCACCCCAATGGGCTTACATAAAAGAGAACTGACCTGTCAGACTACGCATTATTGGAAATGTGGGTGATATATAGCAGAGTTTAGGAAGGTGGCCTTGTGTAGCTTACATAGGTCGACCCCAATTCAGTAATATTTCCAGAACCTCACTGGCAATAAATGAAATAAAATAAAAGTAAATCAGAGGTTGCGGGTGTTGATATGCCTGACAGCATAGGAGCCAACTCCTTGGGGCCGGAGCTTCGGCCCCCTGCAATAAAATATTTGAGGAGGCCAGGCCCCCGCAAAATCGATAGGCATTGCCATTCAAATGTTGTGCATGCCCCATGTCATGCGATCGATTATGTGGGGCAGGGCTTACCTGGGCCCCCCTGCAATATTTCATTCAAGTTGGCACCCCTGTCTGACAGTTTTTTGTGAAGGCTGAATAGCACAATGGCTGGAGAGCATACTGTGGATCTTCTTTTCAGATTCAGGCTGCAATCCTGATCCTACATACCAGGGAGTAAGCTCTGTTGAATACCGAGGGGCTGACTTCTGAGTAGGCATGTTTAGAGTCGTGCTGCAAGACTGTTTTCATTTTGATGGATGGAGATTCCCACTCACTGGGATTTCCCACTGGGCTTGGGACTGGTCATGACCTATGTTACAGAGAAGACACACAAGTATCTAAGCCACTTTGTACACTTAAAAACAACCATGACCGTAATTGCATTAAAATATATGAGGGTGTTGTTGTTTTTTGGAACCCTTCATATTATACCACAGAGGCTTTCTCCGTATGCTAGTGTTTGGGAGGCTGGATCGAACTATTGCCCAGATTAATTTTTTTTTTTGGGGGGGGAGGAAGGCAGCAATGGGATGCAATGGATCTGGGCGTTTGACTCCATCCTTTTAAACAGCATTGTTGAAATGTTGCAGGAGCTACAAAAAAATGCATCTGCCTTCCTGCTGATCATAAGGACTCATAAATGACCATACATTTAAATTCTAATTGCCTTCTGCACACTGTAAATAAAAAGAAGATGCCCTGGGGTGGGGTGGGGGGAGAACGCATTATCATTCTTCAATGGAGTTTCACCCAGCTTTGGGGGTTTTCTACATAATTTAACATGAATCTGATGGAAGACTTTGGATTTTCTCCAAATTTGGATAAATATTCCAAATTGGAGCTTGTAACAGATCTGCCTCAGGGGAGGGAAGAGCAAGATGTGGGTGAGGCATGTAGATGGGGGCCTCTTGTTTGAAAGTGCTCCTCTGCCCATGCCTGCTTTTCATAGAGGGATTTACATAACCCCGCTCCAGAGGGGACTGAACACAGGAGCCCCACCCCTCGACACATGCCTCTGTCACAGACCAACACCTCCTCATTCAATGGACATGGGAAGGAGTACAGATGTACATGGTACAGCTCCTCTTAAAATAATGTCAGTCCCGCCTCACCTGGAGAAGTTTTCCAGATCAACAGGCTTCCTGAAGGGGGTTAACTAAGCCAGGGTCCGAACTCATTGAGACCACGTTTAAAACAATATGATGACACTTCAGTTGTGGCTTCTGTCCAAGAATCCTGGGAAATGTGGTTTGAAAGAGTGTCTCCACCCACACCGTTCAGCCCAGACACTGAGGTCCAGCACCGAGGGCCTTCTGGTGGTTCCCTCCCTGCGAGAAGTGAAGTTACAGGGAACCCGGCACAGGGCTTTCTCGGCAGTGGTACCTGCCCTCCCAGCAGATGTCAAGGAGATAAAGAACTATATTACTTTTAGAAGACATCTGAAGGCAGCACTGTATGGGGAAGTATAAGGAAGTTTTTAATGTTTGATTTTTGTGTGTGTTTTATATTTTGCTGGAGAGCCTAGGGCTTGACCCGGAAGCTGTACGCCGGCTCCCTCGGCCAGTAAAGCGAGATGAGCACCACAACCCCAGAGTCGTCTGCGACTGGACCTAATGGTCAGGGGTACCTTTACCTTTTACCAGAGTCGATAGATGTCAGTTGGATGGCATATAAATAATGAAATGAAATGAAATAACAATAATATGTTCAGGGTGCTGAGAGTTGTTATGACACCTCTATTCTCCTCATAGAACTACAGCTTCCACTAGCGCTTACACACACACACACACTCATGCATGCATGCATGCATGTAGCCTAGCTGTTTTCCTGCTGACATCCAGTGGGTGCCTTATTTTAGAAGATTATTATTATTATTATTATTATTATTATTATTATTTGCCAGATGAATGAGTTTGCAAATCTGCCTAGGCAGCAGGGCTGCTGGAAACAGCACAGAGAAAAAAAAGAGCTGCTGTGTGGCTTTATTAATCTGACCCTTACTCTTCCTTTCCTTCAGATCCCTGTCTCTGAAATGAGATTAACTACACTTCCCGGAGCGCTGAGAGGAAAATGCATTTTATAGTTTTCAGGACCTAGCTGCAGGAGCTTTTGGAAATTGTGGGTAGAAAGGGGAGCTGTTGTTTCCTTACATTACGTGTAAACCCAAAGCGTACTTTGTTAAGAGAAGTGCTTTGGATTATTTGTAAGTTTTGTGTTAGTTTCTGAGGGGAAAAAACACCCAGTATCCCTATATCACACTATTGGAACTTTAATCTGCTCTTACTTAGTAGCTCCTAATGATTTTCCATTGTGTAATTTCTCTCTGGACACAATCCTGTGAGTTGGATTTATTCAGCCAATGTTAAGGAAAGGTGAAGTAACGACTTGGAGTCTTGTGGCTTACATGTTTGCATCTTTAAGCCGACTTTAAGACAAAACAGCAAGCATGGTCAGTGGATGGATTAGAGGTGTCTCTGACAGATGTATCTATCATGCGCAAGTCATCTTTCAGGCTCAGGACCATTTATTTGATTACATTTGGTGCCAAACTCAGCAGGAGCTGCAGGCAGTTACAGTTTCCTGTCACTTCTCCCTGGGCGGTACATCCTGTTCTGCCGCCTGAGGTGAGACAGGAAGGTACTTCTGCCCCTGCCCTGTCACTCCCCACTGCCACCTCCATTACTTGACTCATGTAGTACCTGCAAAGCAGCCATGGCGACGGCAGGTTCTAGCAAGGCCACACTGAAATCTCACGAGATATTGTGCGTTCCATGAGATCTTGCCAGAAGCTGCTGGCAGTGGGTTGGCCGTGGGGTGGGCATGCCGCTGCCCAAGGTGGCTGCCCTATCCTGCCTCGTGGGTGAGCTGCCGCTGCATATGTCTGTATGATGCAAAAGTTTGCAAATTTGCATGCTGCGTTCACACTTGACACTACATTGGATAATTAGATTAAATAATGTGATGTGTGAAAATGCCCTCCATTTTTCCTGTTTATAAAAGGGGAATAATTTTGACTTAATTCAAAAAAGTTATGACAAGAAAAAGAAAAAAGACCATAGACCTTCATGAACATTGCAAATATTAGGGAAAGCACTGTCTGTAAACAAAAGTTTTTGTTATTCTGGAGATCTGTTTTCTGTGGAGATACTAATATTGATAATTTCTATAACACTCTTTTGTTAACCGACAGAGCTCTTACATAATAAGCTGCCCTAAGTACAGTGGTACCTCAGGTTAAGTACTTAATTCGTTCCAGAGGCCTGTACTTAACCTGAAACTGTTCTTAACCTGAAGCACCACTTTAGCTAATGGGGCCTCCTGTTGCTGTTGCTGTCGCCAGAGCATGATTTCTGTTCTCATCCTGCAGCAAAGTTCTTAACCCAAGGTAATATTTCTGTGTTAGCGGAGTCTGTAACCTGAAGCGTATGTAACCTGAAGCGTATGTAACCCGAGGTACCACTGTACTAACTACTAAGGTCCTTTGCCTATGCTGCTTGGCAGTGGATTTTTGTGATTGCAGACAGGGGTCTGGGTCGTCTTGCACAAATCTCCGCTTTACAGATAGGAACCAAAGCTTAAATGCTTATTTATTTCCAAAGCTACCTAACAAGAAGGTGGCTAAACAGGAATTTGAACTTACAGTGGTATTCATTGAGCATACTGGACTGGGCTTCTATGCGTTATTTTAAGAACAGCAAATGTCATTCACATTTCAGAAAGTCAACTATGGAGGGAGTTGTGTGTGTGTGTGTGTGTGTGTGTGTGTGTGTGTGTGTATCATACATAATTACAATAAGCATCTTATAAAAGATAACAATGATGCTGTGATTCCTGATTAAACATCAGACTCCCATCTGCAAGCAAGGTAAGTAGTTTTAAATCAGTGGGAAGGTTTTGACCTTGCCTTGTTTGAAATGACCTACCTTTTCTTTTTTTGTTTACTTTTATTAAAGCAAATGCACTTTGTTTGCTGGAGCAGGTATAAATATGATCACCTATCTTTAGAAGAATATTATGTTTGAGGGTTACAACATGAAATACAGTGCTGTCTTTTCCTTTTTAAAAATAAAATAATAATAATAATAATAATAATAATAATAATAATAATATATACTTAAGAATTTCCTTGCTGGCTTAGACCAAGGTCCATCTTAGTTCAACATTCTGTTTCTAACAGCAACTAGACAGATTTTTATTACCTTTGTTTGTGGAACTTAAGTAACACATGTCCAGTGTAGTGCTTGAGTACAGTCATACCTTGGTTCTTGAATGGCATAGTTGATGAACCAATCGGCTCCAGAACTCTGAAAACCTGGAAGTAAGTGTTCCGGTTTTTGAATGTTTTTCAGAAGCCAAACGCACTCCGGCATTCGGGGGGCGGAGAGCAGGCGGGGCGGGGCTGGCACACACCCCGGGGACGTGGCACGCCACCTGCGGGGGTGTGGCGCCCAGTGTGGGCAGCCGTGATGGCACCCCACCGGGATCGCACTGCCAGGGGTGGTGCGCTCCCCCTGCACTCCTCTTCCTCCGCCAGTGCGCCATGGTTTTCGAATGGTTTTGGGAGTCAAACGGACTTCTGGAACGGATTAAGTTTGAGAACCAAGGTTCCACTGTATTACTTAGATGTTACATCAACCAAGTTAGTACTATCCTCAATATGGCTTAGCCATATTGTGTGCAGCAGTTATTTTTACAACTCACTTGTAAGAGGGAATACTGGTACAGTGGTACCTCTGGTTATATATTTAGTTCGTTCCGGAGGTCCGTTCTTAACCTGAAACTGTTCTTAACCTGAGGTACTATTTCTGGGTTAGCAGAGTCTGTAACCTGAAGCGTCTGTAACCTGAGGAACCACTGTACAGTGGTACCTTGGGTTACATACGTTTCAGGTTAAATACGCTTCAGGTTAGACCCCACTAATCCAGAAAGAGTACCTCGGGTTAAGAACTTTACTTCAGGATTAGAACAGAAATTGTGCTCTGGCAGCACGGTGGCAGCGGGAGGCCCCATTAGCTAAAGTGGTGCTTCAGGTTAAGAACAGTTTCAGGTTGAGAACGGACCTCCAGAACGAATTAAGTACGTAACCAGAGGTACCACTGTATTCCTTTTTTACAGATGTGGAACTGAGGCCAACGTAGGAGTCAACTCCTAGGGGCCACAGGGGCTTCTGCCCCGCAATAAAATATATGAGGGGGCTGTCCCCCAAAAGTTGATGGGCACTGGCACTCAAATGGTGTCTGTGCACCATGTCATGTGATTGATTATGGGGGGTGGGGCTTACCTGGGCCCCAACAATATTTTTTTCAAGTTGGCATCCCTGGAAGCTAACAAAGCATGACATGTTTCCAGTCAGACAATGAATCAATCAGTGACTGCAATGGGATTTGAAACAATTTGATCCACACCCAGCTCTTTACACCGTACAGGCAACTCCCATTTTAGGCATGACCGATATGTGTTGGATCCCGTTGGATTAATCTGTGTCTTGGAAAGCACATAGAGTTGAAAGAGGAAGTGGGAAAGAGTGTCACTCTTTCAACTTCCTCCTTTAACTCTATATATTTTACAAGGGAGAAAACGGGAACTGCCCTTCCTGCCTCATTACAAAGGGGGTCCTCAAGTAGCTTTGTGGAAAGAATTCAAGGGCACTCCTGCACCCATGGGTATCATGCTGGTGGCTCCTGTTCTCATGCAAATCAAGTAGCTTGTGAATTTCCATTTTAAACCACTTAGCTGCAAAGTTTTAGGCATGTCTTCAAAAAAATCTTGAGCGACAACTGCCCAATTATTCATCAGTACATGTAGTAAAATTCCTTCCTACCTTTTATGCCTCCCTTCCCAATATGTCCTGAAGCATGAATGTTAATTGCCCACATTATTACTGCTCACTCCAGCAGTTTGCTGAGCAAGCTGCCTTTCAAAGACCCTCACTACATTGTGAGGAGCCACCTGTCTCTTATTACTGCAAACTAGAAAGGGACAAGCTTGTCTGATTAATATGATTCAGCTGCTACAAAATTGTGGTTTAGCTGAAAGCATCGGGACATTGACATGCAAATGAGAAAGCAAGACCTCTCCATTCTCTCTTCACCGTTCCTGAGAGGGAACATCCCAATATGTAAGAGCGACGCACACAAAAACATGTACATGATGCTGGTAAATAGATGTTTGCAAATGTGCGTGTACATTAAATATGTTGGCCATTGCATTAGCGCTCTTGATGTATATCCCAGGGGCTGTGTGGAACAAAAGTGTGCAATCTGCTACCTTTAATGAGTTTCAACTTCTGTACTTTTCTCTTTTTCAAAAGGATAACCTGCATTAATTCCACGCCATGTGGCGAGACAATTGGGGGGACAAGATCTTGCTTTTTGCGTTCTCTTCTCTTTACCCCCAGGGGCACCAAAACCCTGCCAATCGATAGCCAGCTGTTATGTTTTCTTTGAGCTCACGGACCCAACAGTCGGAGTTGATGGGGGAGTTGCTGTTGGATGCATCGGTTATTCTAATTTAATGCCTAACGAACAGTGAGCACTGGGTTTTCCAATGTGCTAGAAGCCAGTAACTAACTGTCATAGCTGGGGATGAATTTAAAGTGGGCCTAAAGATGCTTTCATGAATATGGAAAAACAGAAAAACTTCATGAACCCAAGGCTTGTCTGCTTAAGTTTCCTAGAAATAAGGCACAGAGCCAGGAGCCTAATAATAAATTACGGGATTTTTTTTTTTTTTAAGTCGATCCTTTCCCTTGAGAGTTGATATGTTCATCAAATTAATAATTTCTTTGATCCATTGAGGAGCCACACATGATAAAGAAAATAAGATTTTTCTTAATCTGGTATGTCAAAAGCGCAGGGCCAAATTAATCATCTTTTACTTAAATCATGGAAGTAATACTGTAGACGTGCTTCAGATCCAGAAGGGATTAGATCCAAACACCCAACTGATGTGGGGGGCTTAGGGCTTGTCATGGTAGCAAGAGCACAAGCATCGGGCAGAGGAGAGGAGAGGATTTTTTGAGTAAGCCGTTAAGAGGAGAAAGAGAGGCAGATGGTAGATAGTTGAGGCTGGAGTGGGCAAAAATTGGGGCAGAGAAGTGGGAGCACCAGAAAAAAGGGAGAGATCAAAGTGAATGCGCACACGCACACACACACACACACACGTACGTGAGGCAAACAGTGAAAAGCAAGGCAGTGTATTCAAACCAACAACTTGGCCACTTTTGGATTCTTGCCTCACATCCGGATTCTAAACCTGTAAAATTCTGTTTGTCCACCAATGTAATTCACTGATAAGGTTCTTTCATAGTTATTCTTGTCGTTTCAACCATCATATAAACCACAGAAAAAGTATACAACTTACACAATCTTAAAGAACCAAAATGTATCTTCACATTAAAATATACCAACAACAACAACAACAACAACAACAACAACATACAGAAGGTTAAAATATTAAAATTCAAAAGGTTGAAGGAACCAGGGGTCAGCAAACTTTTTCAGCAGGGGGCCAGTCCACTGTTCCTGGGGGGGGGGGGCTGAACTATATTTGGGGGGGTGAACGAATTCCTATGCCCCACAAATAACCCAGAGATTAATTTTAAATAAAAGCACACATTCTACTCATGTAAAAACACCAGGCAGGCCCCACCAATAACCCAGAGATGCATTTTAAATAAAAGGACACATTCTACTCATGTAAAAACATGCCGATTCCCGGACTGTCTGTGGGCCGGATTTAGAAGGTGATTGGGCTGGATCCGGCCCCTGGGCTTTAGTCTGCCTACCTATGAACTAATCCATTACAATCCATTACAATTAACTTGCTACATTAAATCTTTGCAATTCACCATATTAAGCTCAGTAAAATTTCATATTCTCCAACATAAAGAAAAGACATTCCCCTTGACAATAAGATCTCCTGTTGCCCCATGTGGCAGCAATGTTACCGCAACAGTCGTGTAGCCTTCCCTAATGACTTAAAGTTTCTGGCTGTCCTCAAAATCTGTGGGGATGGCTGGCATGGGCTTCTTGCTAGTGCTTGAGCCCTGAGTAGCTAGCTGCACAGCAGCATAAGCTATGCATGTGTATCCAGAAGTAAGTTTCATTGAGTTCAGTGAGAGCTGCTCCCAGGTTAGGTATAGGGGGTTGCAGCCTGAGTCACCTAGCCACAGTTTTGTTTCCTGGTTAGGTCATCCGTGGTTTTTTCTACCCATTAAATTACATTCTCCAAGGAGCTCAAGGTGATGTATGCAATTTTGTGTCTCTCCATTTTGTCCTGACGATCTTGTGCACTGGGTTAGGCTGAAAGATAGTGACTGGCCCACGGCCTTCATGTGTGAGCCAGGATTTGAACCCTGGTCACTCAGGACTTAGTCTTAGCCTCTTAACCACTGCGCCACACTGGCTGTCCTTGAAAGCTGTCTCCATAGCATCTTTGTTCTTTTCTGTGAAGCCAAATTTTTGTTGTATAAACACATTTTAAGCCAGTCCTTTCTTCACTTGAGGAACCATGTGTTTGAGCAAAAGTGGTGTGGAGTCACTACAAAGCAACAGCAAATGAGCCAGGAAATGTAAGATGTGTTGAAGATGTAATGGATAGCGTGACTTCTTTTCCTGTTTGGTCTGTTCTGAAAAGTGAAATTGCTGCACATAGACAGGCCAGACCCTTATCAAGAGCCAGCCTCGTGGTCGAAATTTGACAGGTGGGTGGGGCTGTCCACTGGCCAGTCAGCCTGATGATCTGGTAGCTCAGTGTTTCCCAAACTGGGTTTCCAGCTGTTTTTGGACAACAATTTCCATCATCCCTGACCACTGGTCCTGCTAGGTAGGAATGATGGGAGTTGTAATCCAAATCCAACTGGAGACCCAAGTTTGGAGAACCCTGTGGTAGCCTTTGCCTTTACCATCCATAAGCCTGTTTTCCCTTGCCAATGCACACCACAAGACTCTCAATTGTGCATTGGCAGCCATGTCTCCCTATCCCACACCTGATATCACATATGACCAGGTCAGCGTGGAAAACTGCCTTGTGGGCCAATTTTGAACTCTTGGCAGGCCAGGTTTGGCCTGTGGGCTGGCGATTCCCCACCTCTGGACTACAGTAATCCTTAGGCCTGTGGGACCTAACTCTGTACAGTGGTACCTCGAGTTAAGAACTTAATTCGTTCCAGAGGTCCATTCTTAACCTGAAACTGTTCTTAACCTGAAGCACCACTTTAGCTAATGGGGCCTCCCACTGCCACCGTTGCGTGATTTCTGTTCTCATCCTGAAGCAAAGTTCTTAACCCAAGGTACTATTTCTGGGTTAGTGGAGTCTGTAACCTGAAGCGTCTGTAACCTGAGACACCACTGTATTTAACAGTCAGAGTTAAAAATTGATCTGGCTAGATACCTATGGTTATGAGTTTCCACTGGTACAGCCAGACTGAGCATGATTTGTTGGCTGTTCGTCTTGGAGTGATCCTTCTTAGCCCATGGAAAGAAATGAAAACCAGGTTGCAATCCCTGTATCCCTTTCCTTGTAGAATGATGATAATTACGAACAGGTAGTTACCTAAAGGATCAAAACACACAGTCTTATGCGCCTTTAAAAAACTATTTATTCCTTTAGACACAACCCTTCACCAAAATTCTCTCAGGAGCATTTTACCACACAATAATAGAAACGCAAAACACAGCAACTGGCAAATAAAACTTTTTAAAAAAATTATTATTTTTAAAATGCCTAAAACTGCAAAGCCTGAGAGAATAGAACAAAGTTTTTGCCTGATGCTTGGAAGAAAATAATTGGGGCAAGCAAGCGACTGCAGGGAGGGGCGTTGCACAAATGGGGGTGTCACAACAACCAAAGAAAGGCCCTCCCACTGTTTTTTTACTTTCTTCACCTCCAGCAAGGAGGAAGTGGAGAGAAGCACCTTAGCTGATGACCTACAAGCTGGTAAGGGAGGGGGCACTCTCTCAGGACTTCAGTTCTCATTATTTGAGAGTGTTGCCCATTGAATGCAGAAGGAAAAAGCACAGGGCTGAGCTGCATGCTGGGAAGGAAGAGCATATACAGTGGTACCTTGGGTTACAGACGCTTCAGGCTACGGACGCTTCAGGTTACAGACTCTGCTAACCTGGAAGTAGTACCTCGGGTTAAGAACTTTGCTTTAGGATGAGAACAGAAATCGTGTGGGGCAGCAGGAGACCCCATTAGCTAAAGTGGTGCTTCAGGTTAAGAACAGTTTCAGGTTAAGAACGGACCTCCAGAATGAATTAAGTTCTTAACCCGAGGTACCACTGTACTGAAATAGTCCCTGCAAGTGTAACAGTTCTGCTTCTATTCTGATTCGCTTTGGTGGTTTCCTTTTTTAAAAAAAACACACACACACAAACAGATAAAGCCCCATATTTACTCTGTGCTTGCCAGGGATATCTGCTGCATCCATCCCGATAGCATCCCACGGCCTTGTAACTTTAGAAGTTGTTTTGGCATCGATGCCAGTGAGAACTCAGTAACATTTCTATCTTGAGAACAAGTGCCAGCGGTGTTTAGATTTTGGAAACATGCCCATTGAGTGAAGCCAAGTAACCGTACGTGGACGAGGGCCGGTTGGAGGAAGAACAGAGAGTCTGGCAGAAAGGGACGTGATTCTGCCAAGCTCTTACGCCAGCTAAGTGAATGTGAGTGGGGGGAGGGTTGTTGTTTTTTTACCCATCGTGGTTAACTATTGCACCCGCTCTCAATAAGTCCAAGACGCTGAAGTAGGGATAAATCACCACCTTGCTCAACTCTCCAGCAAAGTGGGAGGGCAAGTGCACTTTAGACAAATCACTAGAAGCTTGAGTGGAATCGTATATATTCTTAGGGACTGTTCTTTAGAGAAATAAGAGCTAGTTGATGGGGCTACCTCACACGCTGCATCCTCTTTCTTCCCAAACCGTTTGAGCAAATGTGCTGGAAGCATCATAATGCTTTTGAAAAGGAAAATGTAAGAGCAATTAATGAGGTGCCATTAATTCCTCTAGGTGAGCTAGAAGCAGCAGCCCGACATGCAATTATTTGCTAGGAGTAATAATAATAATAATAATAATAATAATAATTTATACCCTGCCCTCCCCAGCCAAGACCGGGCTCAGGGCGGCTAACATCAGGTATAAAAACAATTGATTAAAATACAACTTAAAAACAGGATTAAAATACAACTTAAAATGCAGCCTCATTTCAGTGGAAGCCCAGATCAAAAACTTTTGGGGGGGAGAAAACGTCAAATCTTCACCAAGGCCAACTATCCAGACTGGTCCTACGTGGGCCAGAAAAAAGCCAGGGAAGTCCCCAAATAGGGCTTCCATCACAGAAGGAAAAGGAAAGAGGGGGAGGGGACCAGGCTGATTCCAAGCCAAAGGCCAGGCAGAACAACTCTGCGGAAAGAAATCAGATCCCGCAGGGCCCTGGTCTCATGAGACAGAACATTCCACCAGGCCGGAGCCAATGTAGAAAAGGCCCTGGCCCTGGTTGAGGCTAATCTGACTTCCTCAGGGCCCGGGACCTCTAGAGTGTTGCTATTTATGGACTTTAAGGTCCTCCATGGGACATACCAGGAGAGGTGACCCCATAGGTACAAGGGTCCTAGGCCGTGAAGGGCTTTAAAGGTCAAAACCAGCATCTTAAACCAGTCCTGCCATCATCTGCATGAATTGCAGTTCAGTGAGAATGGGGTAGGGGAAAATACACCAACCCTAGGCAGTGAGGAGGGTGGATTCTAGCGACAAGGAAGCATTTGCTGTGCTGCTTTGTATATTTCACTGTGTTTCTCCTCCACCCTCCTCAGAGTCTTGAGCCATTTTCAGACTGATGGTTCATTTGCTGGGCAGACCCTGGACTCAGCTATATTAAGCAAAATATGGTGTTATAAATGCGTTATCACATTGTGACAACAGAGGGCGCTGTAGAGCTGAAATCTCAACTCAATTATATTTTCAATTGTGAGCTTTACAACAGTTTTTTGCAGATCGTTTTTATAGCTGTGTAGATCTAGCCCCCACTAAGGTTCACTGATAGAGCACACCTGTAGACCATTTTCTGTGCAAAGCACAAGTATCCTATTTAATTATATTTCAGTTTATTTTCTGTTTGACTTAGTGTATCACCTTGGTTTTTAAAAAGCGAGTTTTGTTTACGTAGCAGAAGGCCTGACATATCTACCTCTGAGATATGTGAAATATGATATGCAGGTATGTTAAATACCGTTGAATCAGCTTCCAGAGCAACAGCATGTGTGGGAAATATTTGAGCCACTTTGCTTTGTGAAAACAGGCACCTTAGTTACCAAGGTCAGCTGCCGTTTGCTAAAACTGGTTATATTTGATCGTATTGTGTCCAGTGCCACAGTAGTTAAAGTAAAATAGCTCAAGACTTATCTGGATAAGTAGATTGTGAAATCCACAAATATGACGTTAGCAAATGAAATGCACATTTTATTTCCAAATATCTGTCTGGATGCAAGCAAATCAGCTAAAAAGACACAGATGCAATTTGTGCATATTTGCCTGTGCTTGGAACACAATGCAGCAAGGCATGAACACAAGTAGACATAAAGAAGATTGTGTTCCTGGTCTGCAATATTACCAATTCAATTTTTAATATATGAACTTAAATTAGCTTTGATGCAGCTCACTCCCCACAAACTCCACTTAGCTTTGCTTTGCTTAGCATTTCATTTCCCCACAGAATCTCCCACACATGCATTGTGCGCATGAGCACGTGGGCACACATGCACGCTCCAGTATTTGTCGCAATATATGCAAAAGTTCCTACCGTGTTTTGGGAGGTGGGTGAATACTTTGGCCCTCTTTAAAGGACCTTCTTGATCGGTGGCTGCTCCCAGACTCTGGAACTCCCTCCCTGGAGAAGCCAGACTGGCTCCTTCCTTGTCCTTCCATTATCAGGTGAAGACTTTCTTCTTCCAACAGGCTTTTGGGGGAACTAACTGCTTTTAATGAAAGGGCCAATGCTGTGCTGTTTTTATTGCAATAATTTGTATGTTTCCAACAGATTTTATTTATGTATATAGTTTCAATTCCATTAATGTTTAATTGGTTTTTTAATTATTGTTTCCCCTCCCCCCCCCATGTTTTCTTGTTTCTATCTGTAAGCTGGCTTGAGTCTCGTCATGGAAAAAGGCATGGTATAAGCAATAAATAAAATAAAATAGTTCAGACACAATGCTAAACCACGTTTTCGCATTACGGAAATGAACCTGTTGAAACCTAGGCCTCATGTGTTTCCCTTTGGCAGTCCAGTCACCACCAGAGGCACAGAGTAACTAGGCTGGAATAGGCAGCTTGGTGTCCTCTGAACATTACTGAACCACAGTTGCCGTCAGCCCTGACCATTGGCTTTTGGTGCCTGAGGGTGATGGGAGCTGAAGCCTGGCAACATCTCAAGGGCCACAGGTTTCAAATCGTTGCCGTACAACACACACCTCAGGGTACAACAATGTTAAGTTGTGGGTGAACATATCAGACGACACAGCGATTCTTCAAACAGCTCTTGTTTATTCACAGGCCAGAACTGAACTGAACTGAAGGGTTTAGCCAGCCTGCTTATATAGAGCTCCACTAGAACGCAACAGTAACCATTTTCTGTAACTATCCAATCACTGAATGTCACTTTCGATCCCTTATTTGCATATGTGGACCTGAACTATCTACAGTATCCCCCTGCTGGCCCAGGGTGAGAACTTCACTACATAACAAACAACATCTGCAGAGCACCACAGTGGTCACCCCTAAACTTTGCCATTATCTGTCATTTAAGCTGAGTAGGAGGTTGAGGTCACCAGCAGCCTGAGTGCCGTTATAATTAGGCCTATTTTTCAGGGAGGTGGTAACCCTATGCCTAGGCCAAGTCAATGTGAACAAGTAGTGTCTCGTCATGACTGAATCTTTCTTTCTTTCTTTCTTTCTTTCTTTCTTTCTTTCTTTCTTTCTTTCTGCATCTACATAGAAAATTAGATGTTGGGGTCAAGGGTTCTCGCCTAGTTTTCTCTCTGACATGCCGTTTTTCTATATGTAGAAGTGGTTGGCTGGCTGGCTGGCTTTCCCATGGGAGAATATTCCATCTTCCGGGCTGCCATCTGCAGTAGGCAGCGGAGACACAGATTTATCGCTGCTGAAAGAAAAGGGTTTAAGAGCCCTTGGTCTAAGTCAACCAGCCTTCTGTAGGGTTTATGGAATTGTGGAGCTAATGTCGAACCTCAGAACAGCGTTAAACTAAGAGAAGGCCAAGTACAGAATTTTGCAGCCACCGTTGATGAATACAAGGTCACACACTTTTTCAAAAGGGATTCATTCCAGATTGTAGGATCGCTGCAGGTTATGAGATGGATTGCTGGTTGTTTATTCATGTATTCATATTTGGAATTGGCTAATGGAATTTAATAGAGTACAAGAGTGTAAAAGCTCTTTTCGAGAGCTTTATGCTTCTCACATTGTACTACAACCCCCAATACATTGTGGCACTTCACCATGAGAAGTCTGCCATTTGCATTTGTGCAAGGGATCGTGGAATGGCACTGTAAGCATCTTCTGCTGGTTCTTTGGCTCCACGCTTTAAGAAGTTAACACACTGCATAAAAGCAAAAAAGGAAAGAAAATCAGATTAAAGAAAAGCAAGTTTCAGGGTTGTTCATATTATTCAATATAAAGGCGTGCAGTACGTTTTACTGTGATCTTCTTACTGTTCTTTCTTCAGGAGCTTCAAGACCCCTTCAAGTTGCCAACAGCATCATTTATCTATTGCACATGGTCTTGTTGGAAATCTGCCCAGTCCTGACATTTCTAAATGTACTCCCTCCCTCCTGCTTTTTTTGGAATGCAACAGTTAATAAATAAAACTAAGCATCATTGGCAGGAAACTTATTGTGGCAATGACTGTGTCACTCCTGCTCAATCTCTCTTTGCTCTGTCCAGAAAAGATATAATATTTCCAAATATTATCTTGTTATATGTTTAATCTTTTGGATTGCCTTCTCAGTCGCTGTGATTTTTAATTTGTTTTTAATAGAAACGTCTGATTATTATTGCCCATTTTCTCTGGGATTCTATTTCATATTGTAATTCAGTGCAGAAATCCAATGCTCATAGTTGGTCGTAGACCACATGGAGGTATCTGCAAATTACTGGATTAATAGCAAAACTCTCTTTTACAAGCAGTTTTTACGACGTGAAACTCTTCACTTTAGAGTCAGACTTGATGGGACAGGTCAGGCGCATTTACGCTATCAATATATCTGCCCTGTTCACATGTACAGTAGTTTGTGTGTGTAGAGGTAGCCTTTACATCAGGAGTGGTTCACCTGTGGCTCTTCATATGTTGTTGGCTTCCAGACATAAGCATCCTTGACCATTGGTGATGCTGGCTGGGGCTGATGGGAAATGCCATTCCACAACAGCCCACAGGTTACCACCCATGAACAGGAATGTGGGGAAAGTAAGCAAAACCCATCCTCTCCCCAATGTAACCACACTGTGCTCCATCCCTTTAAGGAATTTTCTCTCCTGATTGGTCCATGTCTGGGGGACAAGTATTTCCTAAAAGGCAGTCTAAGTCATTAACTATATAATTATGACTGGAATTGGGCTGGGATAAAGTTGGTTTAAACCATGGAGCACAGCCTTCTCTGTTTTTCATTTAAACAAGGCAGACACATAAATCAACTGCCCCATCATATCTAGTTTGGCTCTGAGAAGTGAGGATTTGACTCCTAGACTGGGAACAGCATTGTATAGTGTTGGGATAGAGAACTGGGTATGAATGTGAGAAAGCCAGGTTTACGTTCTCACTTTGCTCACCTGTCTCTCGGAGTGGAAGTACACTGAGACCAGAAAACAAGGGCCTGGGACTTCCAGGCTGCAGGATGGTGTTGGAATATTGACAATAATTTTTAGTGGAGAAGTGGTGGGCAGGAGCAAGGCTGCTTTAGCCAATAGTAGTAGTAGTAGTAGTAGTAGTAGTAGTAATAATAATAAATACCCCACCCATCTGGCTGGGTTGCCCCAGTCACTCTGTGCGGCTTCCAACATATAAAAACACATATAAAAACATAATAAAACATCAAGCATTAATAGTAACAATCTGATCCAATATAAAAAGTCACAATACCTTTGAAATAAACAACTTATATCATATCAAACAAACCAACATTCAACAGTCCATCTCTATTTCAGATGCAAACATTCCAAGCTGGGATTTCAAATGCACATTTGTTTGCATCGAGTCAGGAAAACACCCACTGGCAGCATTCATTGTTCCATACCCCCACACAATATTTGGTATGACCATTCACTTCAGCGCTGGTGGCAGTTTTTCTGTGGCTTTTCTGCCATTCTAGCACCCAGTTGCTAAATTGAAACCACAGGCCCAAAAAATTATATTTGGTAAAAAAATTATATTTGGTAAAAGGTAAAGGACCCCTGGACGGTTAAGTCCAGTGAAAGGCAACTATGGGGTTGCAGCACTCATCTCGCTTCAGGCTGAGGGAACCGGCGTTTGTCCGCAGACAGCTTTCCGGATCATGTGGCCAGCAGGACTAAACCACTAATGGCGCAACGGGACACTATGACAGAAGCACTGGCGTGCTTTCAAACTGCTAGGTTGGCAGGAGCTGGGACAGAGCAATGGGAGCTCACCCTGTCACGCAGATTCAAACCGCCAACTTTCTGATCGGCAAGCCCAAGAGGCTCAGTGATTTAGAGACCACAGTGCCACCCGCGCCCGTGTTTAGCAAAACCACTGCGTCCACATATGCTGAGCTATTAATTCCCCAAGTTGTTGTTTTTAAAGCTCTCCATTTGGTTCACCAAAATGTGCGGGGCAGCGGGGGAGTTTTGGGAGAGGGTGGCAGACGTTGCTATGATGAAAAGCAAAGCAAAAGAAATGCAGGCATGCGAACATATCCAATGCTCACTATGTGGAAATAAGTATCATTGATTTTAGTGGCGCTTATCTCCCTGCAGTGAGGGAGTAGAATATGGTAGGAGGGTATCTGCCTTCCTTATATTTACATGGGTGAGCTAGAATTTTAATCGGTTGGGGTTTGATCATGTTGATTTCAAACTCTTCTTTTTCACGTGTCTTTTTAGTTTTGGGGGAAGAGCAGCCACAGTGGTGCTGGCTGCCTTAATTTTGGGGGCGGGGGTGGGATCCAGTCAGAGCTGTGAAAAAGCAAGAAGAAAGTACAGTGCGTAGTTAAACTGTGGAACTCACGTCCACAAGAAGAAGTGTGTGGCTTGGATAGCTTTGAAAGAACTGTGTGGTTTGGATGGCTACTAGCCGTGATGGCTATACTCTGGCTTCTCCGTTAATCTTCTGCTGCAACTGGGCATGGTGCTATATTATCCCCTAGTTTCTGCATTGATAGCTGTTTTAATCTTCCTTGTATAGATCTGTGAGCAGCTGATCAAGCCTTAGTTTTTATTATCATGCATTGATTGGTTGTTCCCATGTAGTATATCCAGTCCTGTGTAGTCCAGTTCGCAGAAGAAGAAAAGCCTCCTTTTGACCTTGTTCTCTGCTGCTTTGCATCGCAGCCTCAATGGCCTGGTCTTTTTCACTCCACCCAGATCATCTCTCATATCTCATTCAGATTTCACCTTCCATTAACCCTTCTGCTGCAGCTAAGCATTTAATCACCTGCATTTTAAGGACGTTTGCTGTTCAAATTGTGTTCAGGTTAATTTATGTGAAAGTGTGGACTGGATGTGAGGTTATTCGCCCTTTAAAAAATCTCAATAGCATACAATAAAATACTAATAAATATAATGACTATATTAAAAATGCCAAATACAAAATAGTAAAATACATTTCTATTCACATAATGTTAGTTCACTACACAATATCTCAATTCATTAAAGTCATTTTAAAGTTAGATTAATAATACTAAATAGATATTACTGTAAATAGATCCATTTCAGATATTATTAAATATCAATCACAACCTGGTCACAGTACAGGAAGGCGAGGAATTACTTTGTTACATCATAAAACATACACAATCTATTCCTGTTCATGAGATTACTAGGCCTTTTTCACATATTGGGTCACTAAGTCCCAGCTATTTATAACTTCAGTAAATCTTTCTATCTCCAAGCATAGCAGTTAACTTTATAATACTGAATTTATCCCAGAGTCTCCTTAATAAATCCGGCTTACTAGGTTTGCAAGTACCTTTCCAAAACTTTGCATATAAAATTCCAGCCGTGGTTATGACATACAGCACTTGAATTGGGTGAATAGGCACTATACATTCTTTTAATTGTATTTTTTTTTAATGATGATAGGGTGGAATCTCATATCAAAGGATTTAGAAGACATCTGAAGGCAGCCCTGTTTAGGGAAGCTTTTAATGTTTAACAGACCACTGTATTTTAATATTTTGTTGGAAGCTGCCCAGAGTGGCTGGGGAAACCCAGCCAGATGGGCGGGGTATAAATAATAAATCATTATCATTATCATTATTTGTGAATGTCAGCAGCGATGAACCAAAATGTGTCCCTCCATAAGGATGACGTGTCCCTTATCCTTACTAAAGAATGCACTAGCATTATGTGGTCACCTCTTTTTCCAATTTTGTAAACTTTTCCAAGGAGTCCAATCACATGGGTGGGCCATCTTAATACAGTGGTACCTCGGGTTAAGTACATAATTCGTTCTGGAGGTCTATTCTTAACCTGAAACTGTTCTTAACCTGAGGTCCCACTTTAGCTAATGGGGCCTCCCGCTGCCGCCGTGTGATTTCTGTTCTCATCCTGAGGTAAAGTTCTTAACCCGAGGTACTATTTCTGGGTTAATTGGAGTCTGTAACCTGAAGCATCTGTAACCTGAGGTACCACTGTATGGGTAGCTTTATCATTAGTAACTTTTGGGAAGTAAGGTCCTTTATTCAATTTTAAGAACGTCCAAAACTCCCCTGGTACATTTTACGGACATAAAAAGAGCCTGTGGAATCAGGCCAATGGCCCATCTAGCCCAGAATCCTGTTCTCAGAATGACCAACCAGATGCCTTGTGGGAAATCTGCAAGCAGGATTCAAGCCCTCTCTCCTCCTGTGGTTTTCCAGCAACTGGTACCCAGAAATCTTGCTGCCTCCAACTGTGAAGGCAGAGCATAGCCATCATCGCTAATGCCTTGCTCTCATATTAAATATAAAACACGTGCAAACTGGGCATACGGTACATCTGTGCTTAATTTATGAGACTGCATCATCCAGCACTGAGTTTATGAAGGAGCCACTAAGAGATAAAACACCTCTGACACAGCCTTCACATCGTCAGGCCTCACCTCACACACAGAACGTTTTGATGCAGGCAGATCTCAAGTTCAGCTCTGAGTCACTGAGAGAGGAGAGACAGAGTGATGCTAATATCTGGGTGCCACACCCACAGAGATGTTTCTGGCCCCTTCACTGTACAGTGGTACCTCGGGTTACAGACGCTTCAGGTTACAGATGCTTCAGGTTACAGATTCCGCTAACTCAGAAATAGTACCTCGGATTAAGAACTTTACCTCAGGATGAGAACAGAAATCGCGCGGCAGCAGCGGGAGGCCCCATTAGCTAAAGTGGTACCTCAGGTTAAGAACAGTTTCAGGTTAAGAACGGACCTCCGGAACAAATTAAGTTCTAAACCCGAGGTACCATTGTATAGCTTTTGCTGTGTGCTGAAGACCTATGGACCCTGAGGTAAATATATTTTAGAGCCCACCTTACCCTTCTGATTGTATATTGTTTTAAGTTATCTTACAATATATATTTTTCCAAACCACCCTGACACCTTATGGTGAAGTGTGGGAAAGAAATGTAATCAACAAACAAATAAACAATAGAAGTCCAAACAGCACTTATGCACCGTCATAGAAAAGTTTAGGATTTCCCTCCAAGACCGTACTGCATCCCAGCTGAACCTCGCCTACCAAAGCCAAAGAGGTTTTGACAGTGTGTTCACAGACTTAAGTCCCGCTGACTTCAGTAAAGGGCACAGTGTTCACACCAGTAAATTTGAGCTAGATTCATAGAATCGCAGAAGGGGTCATGCATGAGGGACATCTAGTCCAACCCCCTGCAGTGCAGGAATCATTCTGTCCAACGTAGGACTCGAACCTGTGACCCAGAGATTAAGGGTCTCACCCTGTACCAACTGAACTCTATTGCCAGGGGGCGCAACAAGGATTCCTCCTCTCCTCTCCCCGTTGCCCCTCTAAATCACTTTGTGGGGGGAGGGTTGGGAGAACCGCCCCATAGCAATGGAAGGAGAGGGAATATTGTTCCAGCAGGCAAGCAGAAATACTTGCACTGGCAGAGCTATTTGCTCAGTGCTTCTTTGAATTCCATCCTGTGCTTTGGATTGCAGACTCCAGGCAGCCTGCCTGTTGCATTCTTTTTCAGCAGCGGCTTGGTTTCCTGAACGTAAACTGCAGTCTATACCAGGGGTCAGCAAACTTTTCCAGCAGGGGGCCGGTCCACTGTCCCTTGTGGGGGGGGGGAGCGACTATATTTTTGGGGGGGAAATGAACGAATTCCTATGCCCCACAAATAACCCAGAGATGCATTTTAAATAAAAGGGCACATTCTACTCATGTAAAAGCATGCAGATTCCTGGACTGTCCGTGGGCCAGATTTGGAAGACGATTGGGCCAGATCCGGCCCCTGGGCCTTAGTTTGCCTACCCATGGTCTATACATATCCCCTGTAGTGACTGAATGCATAGCTTGCTGCTGCTGCTGCTTCTTTAGTTCCTCCCACTCCTGCAGATCTTGTTTGTGGAAGGAAGCAGGTACAATTGCTGGAAGGCACATTAAAAACCTCTTTTGTGTGCGGTGTGGTCCATTCATATTTTCTTCATCTGTGCTGGAGGGGAAAGAGGAGTTCCTGGGCATGCCAACCGCAGGCCAGAAAGCCTGCCTGTTTTCTTATCTCCCTGCCACTGTTGCTCTCTTGGCACTGCAGTCACCACCTGCTCACACACATGTTACCTGCATCCCTGCCTTTGCCATTGCTGCATGGTCTCCACTGACACAGCCCGGCCACCGCCCCCCTACCCCGGTGGGCTTCCTTTAAAAAATATTTTACATACTACTTCAAACCTCCAGCTTTCTCTAAGCACCTCAACACCCTCCCCTCTCTCTTCTCAGCCGCCTCATTTTTTGGCTGCAATCCCCGTCAGCACTCGCCAATTGCATTTGCTATTAGAAGGAATGATTGCCACTGGTCAGGGCCTGGGGTGGGATGGCTAGCTGTTAAACAGAATTGACTGGAATAAAAGTACCAGCGTAATGCCATTTTCTCATCTCCTCTGCCACACGTCCCTTGATTACCTACTGCTGTAAATTATTACTTCTGTGAGAAGCTATTAAAACCTGGCAAAGTCTCGCTCGGCAAAGATTTGGGATGGCAGTCAGAGTGGATTATCGCCCTGTTTCTCAATATATGTCCCATGTGATTTAAAGGGGAGCTGAATTGCTGGGATTAACGCCGCGTGAAACCTATTGTTCTTAATTCAAGATAAGGCATGACTTAATCCTGCCGTTTCCCTTTTTATCACTTTTGCTTGGTGGGAGCCAGAAAATAAAAGCAGAGCCAATAGCTTATTGATGAGTTTTCGGTGCTTTTCCTCGGTGTTGTTGATGATCGTAGAATCATAGATCAGAGTTGAAAGGGACCCTGAGGATCATCTAGTCCAACCCCCTGCAATGCAGGAATATGTAGCTGTCCCTTCTGGGGATCGAACTTGCAACCTTGGTGTTAACAGCACCACACTCTAACCAACTGAGCTATCATGCTTCTTTCCTATCATAAAACCACACGCAAATTCATTAGGAAATGCCAGCATGGCCATGTGTATTGCCAAACCTTTGAACTCTGGGCAGTTCTTTTAGGATTGTGGCACAATGCAATGCTTAAGACACACATTTGTAATGCAGGTTGGAACGCATTCTTCGTATTAACTCTAAAACTAGGTGTAAATTCAGCTATACTGCAGTTGCTTAACTGTTGTCTACTTAGGAAGCTATTGGAAGAGACGATTTGCACAATATATGGACATCATTCTATGGAGCACTACTATGGATTGGTTTGGCTGTATTGCCAAACCATGTTTTTTGGTTAGGCAACAAACCATAGTTTGTGTTCCAAACATATAGACAAACCATGGATTGTGTGGTCTCCCCTTTCTTTCCTCGAGAATTCCAGGACGCCACCCAAACAGCATGAAAAAAATGTCCCAGTCCATGGCTGGTTGGTTCAGGTGGAATTACAAACCAACTATGGTTTGCAAACTGGTGCCAAACTAATTTCAGATCCTGGTTTGACAGCTACCCAGAGATCGTTTGTCAGATATTGCTGGTTTAGCCATTGAAACAAACCGTGGTTTAGCATTGCATCAGAGCCATCTCAGTGACTTAGTGACAGATTTGGCTAAACATGGAAATCTGCATCAGTTGGCAAGCATTTGGCTATGACTGCTCTGCGTTGTTTGTTTGTTTGCTTGCTTGCTTCATTTGTATCCCACCTTTCTTCTGTAATGGAATTCAAGTTATCTTACATGGGGTACTCATCCAGCCACTGACCAAAGCCACACCTGCTCAACTTCAGCAGGATAGAAACATCACTTGTATGAGAGTATGTCTTTTTTGTGATGTTTGGTCTGTGGTGGTTGGTACTCCCATAGAAGTAATCATCACTTGTTGTTCTGTTATCACGGAGTGAGTCTCTGTATGACAACTGCATTTATGGATAAGGCTAAGATGGCTAATCCAGTGAGTTCACTGCTGACACTGGAGTGGGGGACTTGCAGAGCTACCCATGTTTGTACAGTGGTACCTTGGGTTAAGTACTTAATTCGTTCCGGAGGTCTGTTCTTAACCTGAAACCGATTTTAACCTGAAGCACCACTTTAGCTAATGGAGCCTCTTGCTGCTGCCGCGCCACCGGAGCACGATTTTTGTTCTCATCCTGAAGCACAGTTCTTAACCTGAAGCACTATTTCTGGGTTAGCGGAGTGTGTAACCTGAAGTGTATGTAACCTGAAGCGTATGTAACCCGAGTTACCACTGTACTTCATTGTTGTTTTCACACGTACCCTTTGCAATTGCAGGAAATTGTCAGATGTGTTTGCTAAATATTATTTCATGCTCTGGTCCAGGGTCATTTAGGCTGCAGTGCTATACACGCTTACCAGGAAGTCAGACGCATTGAACAGGCATGCCTAGGATGGCTCTGATAATAATCTAACATTCAGTGTCATTTATTGTAAAGCAATTGTGTTAATGCTCACAGCTGAGAAAGAAAGGCTGAATATGTCCCAACTAAGGACCCGGAAACGGAAAGAAAACAAAAGGACAGATTTGTCAGAGATGTTATAAATTTTCAGTTGACATTGAATGCTTCCTTTTTTATTTACAAACTCCTGGGGTTTCAAAAGTATAGTTGCAGAGGGCGAACCTGCGCATAACTTTTCCCCACTTTCTTTCATTTTTTAAAAAACACAAAAAACATGCTTGAACTGGCAAAACTGTAGTTTTGCATAGTCTGCCCCCTGGTGCATAGATGAAGGTAGTAAAAATGATGGAAAATACTAGAGGATTGCATATATATATATATATATATATATATATAATTTTAAGACTTTTTAGAATTTTAAGACTTTTTAGATTTTTAGAAGCTTCCCCTCTGCATGATACCCTTTTCATATATTTTCAGCAAGGAACTGATGCAAACATGCCACCTCTTGTTCTCTGCCATCCTTTGTCCTTGGTTAGGGCTCCACTTCGTTATAGCTTCTCCCTAATTACTATGAACAGAAGAACCAGACTGTTCACCAGTGATTGTTTGCCCATCTGCCTTCTTCATCAAAGAACATTCCTTCTTTTTCATTTTCTTCCACCTCCCCCGCCCCCCTCTTCTGGTGTGTGGACTCTTTTCCCCTCTCCTTTTTTCTATCATTCTGTATATACACTGCATGCTTTGGTAGAAATAATCCTGAGATTCCTCGTTGCAGGCAATTTGGACATAGGAGCTTCAGGCCACTTCTGCCATTCTATTTGTTTGTTGTTTAGTTGTTTAGTCGTGTCCGACTCTTCGTGACCCCATGGACCAGAGCACACCAGGCACTCCTGTCTTCCACTGCCTCCCGCAGTTTGGTCAGACTCATGTTTGTAGCTTCGAGAACACTGTCCAACCCCATCTCGTCCTCTGTCGTCCCCTTCTCCTTGTGCCCTCCATCTTTCCCAACATCAGGGTCTTTTCCAGGGAGTCTTCTCTTCTCATGAGGTGGCCAAAGTATTGGAGCCTCAGCTTCACGATCTGTCCTTCCAGTGAGCACTCAGGGCTGATTTCCTTAAGAATGGATACGTTTGATCTTCTTGCAGTCCATGGGACTCTCAAGAGTCTCCTCCAGCACCATAATTCAAAAGCATCTATTCTTCAGCGATCAGCCTTCTTGATGGTCCAGCTCTCACTTCCATACATCACTACTGGGAAAACCATGGCTTTAACTATACGGACCTTTGTTGGCAAGGTGATGTCTCTGCTTTTTAAGACACTGTCTAGGTTTGCCATCACCTTTCTCCCAAGGGGCAGGCGACTTTTAATTTCGTGGCTGCTGTCACCATCTGCAGTGATCATGGAGCCCAAGAAAGTAAAATCTCTCACTGCCTCCATTTCTTCCCCTTCTATTTGCCAAGAGGTGATGGGCCCAGTGGCCATGATCTTCGTTTTTTTGATGTTGAGCTTCAGACCATATTTTGCGCTCTCCTCTTTCACTCTCATTAAAAGGTTCTTTAATTCCTCCTCACTTTCTGCCATCAAGGTTGTGTCATCTGCATATCTGAGGTTGTTGATATTTCTTCCGGCAATCTTAATTCCGGCTTGGGATTCATCCAGCCCAGCCTTTCGCATGATGAATTCTGCATATAAGTTAAATAAGCAGGAGACAATATACAGCCTTGCCGTACTCCTTTCCCAATTTTGAACCAATCAGTTGTTCCATATCCAGTTCTAACTGTAGCTTCTTGTCCCACATAGAGATTTCTCAGGAGACAGATGAGGTGATCAGGCACTCCCATTTCTTTAAGAACTTGCCATAGTTTGCTGTGGTCGACACAGTCAAAGGCTTTTGTATAGTCAATGAAGCAGAAGTAGACGTCTTTCTGGAACTCTCTAGCTTTCTCCATAATCCAGTTCATGTTTGCAATTTGGTCTCTGGTTCCTCTGCCCCTTCAAAATCCAGCATGCACTTCTGGGAGTTCTCGGTCCACATACTGCTTAAGCCTGCCTTGTAGAATTTTAAGCATAATCTTACTAGCGTGTGAAATGAGCGCAATTGTGCAGTAGTTGGAGCATTCTTTGGCACTGCCCTTCTTTGGGATTGGGATGTAGACTGATCTTCTCCAATCCTCTGGCCACTGCTGAGTTTTCCAAATTTGCTGGCATATTGAGTGTAGCACCTTAACAGCATCATCTTTTAAAATTTTAAACAGTTCAGCTGGAATATCATCACTTCCGCTGGCCTTGTTATTAGCAGTGCTTTCTAAGGCCCATTTGACTTCACTCTCCAGCATGTCTGGCTTAAGGTCAGCAACCACACTACCTGGGGTATACGAGGCATCCATTTCTTTCTGGTATAGTTCCTCTGTGTATTCTTGCCACCTCTTCTTGATGTCTTCTGCTTCTGTTAGGTCCTTTCCACTTTTGTCTTTTATTATGGTAATCTTTGTACGAAATGTTCCTTTCATATCTCCAATTTTCTTGAACAGATCTCTGGTTTTTCCCGTTCTATTGTTTTCCTCTATTTCTTTGCATTGCTCATTTAAGAAGCCCTTCTTGTCTCTCCTTGCTATTCTTTGGAAATCTGCATTCAATTTCCTGTATCTTTCACTATCTCCCTTGCATTTTGCTTTCCTTGTCTCCCCCGCTATTTGTAAGGCCTCGTTGGACAGCCACTTTGCTTTCTTGCATTTCCTTTTCATTGGGATGGTTTTAGTTTCTGCCTCCTGTATAATGTTACGAGCCTCCATCCATAGTTTTCCGGCACTCTGTCCACCAAATCTAAATCCTTAAACCTGTTCCTCACTTCCACTGTGTATTCATAAGGGATTTGACTTAGATTGTATCTTACCGGCCCAGTGGTTTTTCCTACTTTCTTCAGTTTAAGCTTGAATTTTGCTATAAGAAGCTGATGATCTGAGCCACAGTCCGCTCCAGGTCTTGTTTTTGCTGACTGTATAGAGCTTCTCCATCTTTGGCTGCAGAGAATATAATCAATCTGATTTTGATGCTGCCCATCTGGTGATGTCCATGTGTAGAGTCGTCTCTTGTGTTGTTGGAAAAGAGTGTTTGTGATGACCAGCTTGTTCTCTTGGCAGAACTCTATTAGCCTTTGCCCTGCTTCGTTTTGAACTCCAAGACCAAACTTGCCAGTTGTTCCTTTTATCTCTTGACTCCTACTTTAGCATTCCAATCCCCTATAATGAGAAGAACATCCTTCTTTGGTGTCATTTCTAGAAGGTGTTGTAAGTCTTCATAGAATTGGTCAATTTCAGTTTCTTCAGCACCAGTGGTTGGTGCATAAACTTGGATTACTGTGATGTTAAAAGGTCTGCCTTGGATTCGTATTGAGATCATTCTATCATTTTTGAGATTGCATCCCAGTACAGCTTTTGCCACTCTTTTGTTGACTATGAGGGCCACTCCATTTCTTTTACGGGATTCTTGCCCACAGTAGTAGATATGATGGTCATCCGAACTGAATTCGCCCATTCCTGTCCATTTTAGTTCACTGATGCCCAGGATGTCAATATTTATTCTTGCCATCTCATTTTTGACCACATCCAACTTACCAAGGTTCATGGTTCTTACATTCCAGGTTCCTATGCAATATTTTTCTTTACAGCATTGGACTTTCCTTTCGCTTCCAGGCATATCCGCAACTGAGCGTCCTTTTGGCTTTGGCCCAGCCGCTTCATCAGCTCTGAATCTACTTGTACTTGTCCTCCGCTCTTCCTCAGTAGCATGTTGGACGCCTTCTGACCTGAGGGGCTCATCTTCCAGCGTCATAACTTTTATATGCCTGTTGTCTTTGTCCATGGAGTTTTCTTGGCAGGGATACTGGAGTGGCTTGCCGGTTCCTCCTCCAGGTGGATCATGTTTGGTCAAAACTCTCCACTATGACCTGTCCATCTTGGGTGGCCCTGCACGGCATAGCTCATAGCTTCTCTGAGTTATTCAAGCCCCTTCGCCACGGCAAGGTAGTGATCCATGAAGGGGACCATTCTATTACTATAGACCATTTAGGCAGAGAAAATGACCACCACACAACAGACACATATCAAATATTCTACCCCATTTCTTAAAGGTAAAGGTCAAGGTAAAGGAGACCCCTGACCATTAGGTCCAGTCATGGCCGACTCTGGGGTTGCGGCGCTCATCTTGCTTTATTGGCTGAGAGAGCCGGCGTAGAGCTTCCGGGTCATGTGGCCAGCATGACTAAGCCACTTCTGACGAACCACAGCAGCACACGGAAACGCGTCCCTACCCCATTTCTTACTCAGCTACAAATTTGCCATTTACTCCAGAGAGTGGAGGTTTACAGCCCTGTTCCAGGGTGGCACTAACTTATTTTATCTTGGCACATCTGTTTCATTCCCCCCCCCCCGTCTTTTTTATGATTTATATGTATTTTAGCCCCCATAAGGACCCTTTCCTCCTGCCTTCCCTGTAGATTGAATTTTACTTCATTTGAATAAGTTATTTCTACAGTCCCATTATACACGCAGTGAAACAACCTCACTTTCTACATTCCTTCCTACTTTTAGATCTGTACCGAACGGTGTCAGCAGAGAGCTTGCTGCAGAGTTTATCATGAAGGGGTTGTGTTTCCAGTAGGCTGGGGTGGCAATGCTAATTTAGTTTGTATTTGGCTTCCATTTAAAGGGTCATTGGTTCTTCTGGGCTTCTGCAATGGCAACAGATTTCATATACGGTGACAGTTGTAGCTAAATTCCCACCATAGAATAGTGAGCTGGCGAAGTAGTTTGCAGGTTGAAATTTGGCTGGGGGGGGGGGGCGGGGGCTGCCTTCACATTCCCTGATCAGACATGGTGGCATATTTAGGAATTCAATTGAACTTAGGAATTCCATTGAACTCAGCTGTGCTTATTTCTGAATTCATGGGTACAACCTGTAAAACACGCTGAGATTTTAACAGCAGCTCTTCCCTTAGCTGCAATGCAACCTTTAGCTTTTAATTCAAAACGCAAACAACCTTGCAAAAGAAGTGCTAACGTTTAAGCTGCTAGGAATCCTATCAAAAACAGTATCCCACCTCTGCTTTATTATTTTCCTCATTCTTGATGCTAGTTATCACTTTGTTCACTTGGCAGAGCAAAGATGGTCCATCAGTTCCCTTAGTGCTACCTGCTGCATCCCTCTGCCACTATATCCCATATTGGGTTCCCCAAACTTCAGGGGCAGCTTGGGAAGGCAGTGATGGGAAGGGGGAGACTGGTAAAATCCGGATGCCCAGAATTGCGCAAAAGTCAGTGCTTTCCACCAGCTGCAAAGCCACCATTGAATACAGCCCAGAATATGCTCTTTCAAGCTACCTATGAGCATTATGTGACAGTGTAGCCAGCTGGCCACATCAACGTCGCAAGAACACAAACAGAAACATTTGGTGAGGTTCCCCATTAATTCATTTGAATGCCACTTGCTCATGAGCAACATGGAGCTCAAAATGCTTAGGGGCAATATCCCCACAACTTGCAAGAATGTAAGTGTTTTCTGCTGCTGCTGTCACCATTGGATGCAGTCCTCAGCCTTCACCAACCCGGTACTCTCCAGATGTTTTGAATTACAACTCCCATGCATATGGTAGCTGGGGATGATGGGAGTTGTAGTTCAAAGCATTTAGATGGCACTAGCTCAGCAAAGGGTGTTCTTCTGAACTGAATTCACGCGCTCTTAACATTTTTTCTTCTCCTTACAGGAAGATGGATACAGCAAAAGACGGGAGGAAGGAGTGAGAAGGGTGGAGAAGTGTTCATGTAATAATGGAAGGCTGAAAACCACGAGGGTCAAGTAGAGAGGAGGCTGTTCTCTGAGATAAAGGTAGGAATCAACACAAACGTTTCCCCTACTGTGGTACATTATCATCCCTGGAATATACAGATGTCGAGCAAAGCTTTCAAAACCCATTGGAACTTCAAATTAAAATTATTGTTTGACTGAGCTGGTGTTGAGTAAAGAATAAGGGACACTGATATATCTGCATGGTTCACCTCTCTCTTCCACATCCTTGCAACCTCTCTGGCCCCATCCATTCTGCACATTATGCATAGGTCAATGAGTTCTCTTTTGGTCTTTCACCTGCACACACTGCAGTCACTGGCGGAGGAAGAGGGGGGCAGGGGGAGCGCCCCGCCCCGGACCATGATTGCGAAGGGGTGCGGTCGCAGCTCCCCCCGCCCCCGTGCTGGGCGCCACGCCCCTGCAGGCAGCGCATCAAGCCCCCAGGACGCACGCCACGCCCCTGCGGGCGGCTGCCACGCCCCCTGGGATGCACGCCAGCCACACCCCCGCCTGCTTTCCGCCACTGTGTGCAGTGCAGATCTCAGTTTGAAGCAGAAGACCAATGCAGGAGATAAAGAGGCATCTGGTTGTTGTTTTTCTCCCAGTGAAGGCAAAGAACCTGGGGTACCAGTAAATAATTGCAAGGAAAAAGGATCCTTGGTGCTAGCTTTTTATTTCATATTTTTTTAATTTAAATTTTATTAACATATAAAACACATACATATACATATACATTTACACAATACACATACACAACACACTACCTTATTTTCATAACATAAACATACCTACATTGCTCTATATAATACCTACCTATACTATACAGATCAATATACCTACACACCTACGCCACACGGACACCCAACAAGTGACCTGACTTCCAGCTTTTCATTTCAAATTGCATCCTTAAGTGGCTCCATTGCATTTTTTTTTTCCAAAATCCAAAACATACACATTCTGCTTTTCACCCTTGGAGACTCTCTGCAAAAATGTCAATCCTGCCCCACTCACCACAGATCTGGGTTCTTCTATTTTAATTGTGTGGCGTGACCACCAGAGGGAGTATGACGAACAGAATAGCTCCTCTGGTGCTCTGCGGAGTGTCAAAAGTGACACTGCTCTCCTTCCTTGGGTTACCAGATGTTTAAGCCACTGGACCTTGTTCTAGAACCTCACAGCTCCAGAGAATGTCTTGTGCTGCTGTGCTTGTCACCTGCACATAATGGAATGGGTCTTCAGTGGAATGGATTTCAAAAGGAGAGGTTTAGCAGCATCTTTGAGGCCATCCCACCTTGAAACCTGTCCTTCCTAACTCTTACATGGATGTTCATTCCGAAATGATTGAAAAGGAGAGTGACCGCTGTCTGTATCCATTTTAGAGAACTTCCAGGCAATTTCATTCCTACTTTTTTTTAAAACTTAAAATAGGATCAAGATAGTTTTTTAAAGTGTGTTACATACAGCAGACTTTAGGTCGGCTCACATTGAGAGCTGATTCAGACTTTAATTTCATTTTTGGTAGGAGTAACTGCATTAAGACATCCTTTTCATTATGCATTCATGATGATTTGTGCTTAATGGTGGTGGTATCAGGGTGGTTGAATGCAATCTCGCTTTCAATACTGTTTGTGCCTGCAAATGTTTCGGGGAAAGATGCACTGCTTTGTTTCCAATCAGGCCATGTCTCGTAGCTTCCTGATGAAATCTTGTGACTTTTTATACCACAAGTGTTCTGGTTTGTTTTAATTGCTCCACTTTTGTTGCACTCCAGACAGCAATAATGCATTGGGGGATCATTGCGGAACAACTAATATAGTGGAACAATGCGTCCTGTATGAATGCCCCATTATGGTGTCTGTGATATGTTGCAATGTATACTCACAGTCTCGAGGGGCCCTTAGTCATAAGAAGAGTCCTGCTGGATTAGACTGAAGGCCCATCTTGCCTTCATCCTTGTCTCACAGTGGCCACCCAGATGCCTATGGTATGTGTTATGTACTGAAGTTCTCACCCTGGGCCAGCAGGGGGATACTGTAGATAGTTATGCAAATAAGGGATTGAAAGTGACGTTCAGTGATTGGATAGTTTTAGAAAATTGTTACAGTTACGTTGTACTGGAGCTCTATATAAGCAGGCTGACTGAACCCTTCAGTTCAGTTCTGTTATGGCCTGTGAATAAACAAGAGCTGTTTGAAGAATCGCTGTGTCGTCTGATATGTTCACCTACAACTTAAAAGTTTGTCTGCAAGCAGGACCTGAATGCAGCAGTACGGTCCCCGCTTGTGATTCTCAGCAAGTGCTATTCATTGGAGGGAGTTACAGTGGACACTCTGGTTGCGAACACGATCCATGCAGGATGCACATTCGCAACCCGCAGTGTTCACAACCCACAGCGGCGCGTCTGCGCACACGTGGGTTGCGATTCAGTAGTTCTGCGCATGAGCAAAGCGTGATTTAGCGCTTCTGCGCATGCGCGGCTGCCAAAACCTGGAAGTAACCCGTTCTGGTACTTCCGGGTTTCAGCGGGTCCATAACCCAAAAAAACGCAACCTGAAGCGTCTGTAACCCGAGGTATGACTGTATATAGTCATCATAGCTAGCAGCCATTGATAGTGTTCCCTTTTGTGGACTAGATGAGCTTGTGGTCTGATCCAGCACAGCTCTTATGTACAGCCGTACCTTGGTTTTCGAACAGCCTAGTTCTCGAACATTTTGGCTCCCAAACAATTGAAACCCGGAAGTGACTGTTCCGATTTTGAATGTTCTTTTGGAAGCCAAACATCTGACGGGACTTCTGCGGCTTCTGATTAGCTGCAGCCAATCGGAAGCCACGCTTTGGTTTTCGAATGCTTTGGAAGTTGAACAGACTTCCGTAACAGATTCCATTCGACTTCCAAGGTACGACTGTACTCAGAAGCAGACTTCACTCAGTTTGATGGAGCTACTATAAAATAAGCGTACAGTGGTACCTCGGGTTACATACGCTTCAGGTTAAAACGCTTCAGGTTGCAGACTCCGCTAACCCAGAAATAGTGCTTCAGGTTAAGAACTTTGCTTCAGGATGAGAACAGAAATTGTGCTCCGGCGGTGCGGCAGCAGCAGGAGGCCCCATTAGCTAAAGTTGTGCTTCAGGTTAAGAACAGTTTCAGGTTAAGAACGGACCTCCAGAACGAATTAAGTACTTAACCCGAGGTACCACTGTACAGAGGATCAAAAAATAAAACAGACCAATTCAGCTACTGCTCTGGAAAGCCAACGAAAGCTATTCCTTTCTTAAGCTAGTGTGTGATGTACACACACACACACACACACACACACACGGTTAAAGCTTACCATTTTGTTCTCAGACAGCTCAGGGAAAACCTTCCCCCACTCTGAAAACCATAGAACCAGGAAAAAATGAAAGGGATGGTGAATCCATTTATATTTATAAAACGAGATACAACCAGCCAATAGAAAAAGCATAAAAATGCTTTTTAAAGCTGCGGAAAATGAGGAGGAAACAAAACAAGGAGAATTAAAGATTTGTGATGGGGTGGAAAAACGGGATGGCGGGGGTGAGGTGTTGGGGTTGCCTGCTTGTGGTTTAAAAGAACACCCTCCCCCTCCAAAAAAACCCCACAAAAAACCACTGGAACAATCATATATTGAAATACCAACTACTTGGCAATGAAACAGCTGGTATTAACGCACTCCATCCAGACAAATAAACGGCTGGAAAATTTGCTTCTGCAGACTTCTCTGGACGTGCAGCACCATCAAGCACTATTCATTAGAGTTGGCATTATGCACATTATATCCCATATGCCAGAGAATAACTAAGCTGTTACCCACTTGCCACTAGGCAGCATCCCAAATGTCTTGTATGCTAGTGACAGATGCCCTGCCTCTAATGGCAAAAACCATCCATTCTCATAATCTCAGTGGTGAGCTAAAAGGAACATAACTGCAAATCTTTGCAGCAAGTGCCACCAGGAGATACCTGGCCAGGTAACAGATGGCGTGCTCCTGCAGTGTGATGTAGTGGAAGGTGGATGCATAATTCCACAATGGAGACATATCAATTGCATTCCAAACGACAGAGCCTTACTACGGGAAATTGGGTTGTTCTTCATTTTATGCTCAGTCTGCTTTGTTTTCCTCTTCCTTGTCCAGTTCAGGGCACAGGGTAACAAAAATAAAATAAAATAAAGCCGTGTATCATATTGTGGAACGCAGTCTGCCTTGGGAAGCCCATTCCTGACACCCTGAAGGCTATCAGAGACTTGCTCTCTGCTGTACCAATTATGGATAAAAAGTTATAAAACAAACATAGGTATATGAAAATATTCAACCATCTATTTAAGAGTTATTTTGACCATTTGGTGTGGGGGGGGGGGAATAAGGTAAGAATGGATGCATCGTCATTAATAAGACTCCAAAGGGTTTGGCAACCCTGGGGCTAATGTAGTACATGTCTATGAGAGCAGGTTGTCTTTCAGGTGTCCCCTTGTCACTTACTGTCAGTCCAGACAACTGTCATCACTGTTTAGTGTAGAAGGACAGAGATTCAGGGGAGAAAGGAGCCAGTCCTCTCCATAGAGAGGATGACCCATTTGCTCCTGTAAAGTGGGTCACTCTGGATTGGCCTGCTGGGTAATGTAGTTTCTGACCAGCACTCCATGTGCTTCTCCGAAGTGCAACATGTGGATACAGTGGTATCTCAGGTTAAGTATTTAATTCGTTCCGGAGGTCCGTTCTTAACCTGAAACTGTTCTTAACCTGAAGCACCACTTTAGCTAATGGGGCCTCCTGCTGCTGCCGCGCCACCGGAGCACGATTTCTGTTCTCATCCTGAAGCAAAGTTCTTAACCTGAAGCACTATTTCTGGGTTAGCTGAGTCTGTAACCTGAAGCATATGTAACCTGAAGCGTATGTAACCCGAGGTACCACTGTATTAATATTTCCTTCCCTCTTATAGGGGGAACCTGCATCCTTTTCAATGAGTCTTCCCCCCCTTCTTCTTTTTTAAAT